GGGAGGCTGCACCCCAATAACTCAGTCCTCAGACCAGGAGATGCAACAAGCAAGAGGATTTAATCGTTTGTGCAGACGGGCCCCTGCCTCACTCAGAGAGAGAGAGAGAGCAGCAGCCCTGAGCTCAGCTTACAGGCGATTTTTAAAGGCAGAAACCACAAACCACAACTGGCAGCAGTGGGAGGGGGCCGGCAGCAACCAGCAATAGGGGGCTGGCGGCAACCGGCAGTAGTGGGAGGGGGAGTCTCTGGTGATGTCCGGAGCATGAAAAGGTCAGCTCTTTCTCAGTAGTTAGAATTATTTTACTTCTTACTTTTTTGTTCTGAATATTCTTCTTTAGTCTGGGGGATTTGGTTAAATCTACTTTAACCTGGGGGGCTTTAGTTTGATTCCATCACCTCAGCCTCCCAAGCAACTGGATGACAGGCCCATTCCAACATGCTTGGTTCTAATTTCTTTTCTTTAATATGCTTTAGTTTCTCTCTTATCAATCCCATATGCTTGTGGTGTGAACCACATTATGTATCTCTTTAGCATCCCAACAGATTATCTATAATAGTGTAAATGCTTAGAACATTAAATGAAACATGTTAATTATGTTGATTTGGAAATGAATGTCAGTCTTGCCCTGGGCAAGGCAAGTAAGTAGCCTAAAGAGAGTTTGGGAAAGATAAATCTCACCTTCTGCTTCAAACTGAGAGATGAATTGGACTCCTATTGCCATGGCAACATTTGAGAAGAGACAAGAGGCTATCTTCTGGACATGGGTCCTCTGGTGGTAGCTGAAAGTGAGGTACAGGTAGGGGAGGTAAGTGAAGAAGAAGATGATGCCTCCTATCACAGTTCCTACATGGGTTGCAAAGTCAGAGGAAAGAAATGAAGCGTTTCATCAGTAGTGTACAAATTACTATGATATAAACCCTCTTCCCTACCACGAAAGGAAAAGGCCTCTGTGTTTCTTTCAGCATTTCAAAAAGGGAGCAATCTCTGTATGTGCACCTTAGTAATGAAAGATGAAAATATTTACAAAACTTAAAAAAAAAAGTAGGCCAGGCATTGCACAATACGGGTGCACTTACATACATGCAGGCAATATACTCATACATATAACATAAAATAAATAAAAATAATAATAAAATATTTTTAAAAGAAACTTTAGGGGGCTGGAGTGATGGCTCAGCAGTTAAGAGCACTGACCTCTCTTGCAGAGGACCCAGGTTCGATTCCCAGCACCCACATGGCGGCTAGGATCCTTAACTCCAGTTCCAGGGGAATCCGAAGCCCTCTCCTGAGCTCTGTGCACAACACGGGTGCACTCGCATACATGTAGGCAATACACTCATACACATAAAATAAAAATAATAAAATAAAATAAGAACTTTAGCCAGGCGTGGTGGTAGACACCTTTAATCCCAGCACTTAGGAGGCAGAGGCAGGCAGATCTCTGTGAGATCAAGGCTAGCCTGGTCTACATAGAGAGTTCCAGGCCAGCTGGGATTACAGGGAGACTGTTTCAAAAACAAAACAAAAAATCAGAAAGTAGCCAAATGTGGTGGTGTACACTTTTAATGCCGGCACTTGGGAGGCAGAGGCAGGCAGACCTCTGGGAGTTTGATGCCAGCCTGGTCTACATGGTGAGGCAAGCTTGGGCTAAATAATGAGATCCTGTCTCAAATTAAAAAGAGTGTGAATGCTTATATAAAGGCACAAATATCTGTGTAAAATGTCCTCTCTCTAAAACTGTACTGACTCTCTTACCAAAAACCCTCTTTTTCAAAGATGAGTAATGGATTTGTATATGATCTACTAAGCCCTGCCTGGTACTATGGCAAATACTTTACATAATAATCTTATTTAACCTTTGCAGTCTTCTTATTTTGCAGAGAAGAAACCTGGAAAGTAACCACAATAAATAATAATAACTTGTTCAGTATCATGGAGCCATAAGACCATATCAATTATCTGCTTTTCATATATTTAATATTTTTTGTCCTACCTCCCTCTCTTACTCCCTCTCCCTCTTTCTTTTCCCTTTTCTCCCTTATGAGTTTATGCTATGTAGTCCAGGCTGACCTCAAATCTACAGTTCTCTTTCCATAATAGGAATCAAGCCCAGCAGACATCTTTATAGTCATGTTACATAGGTTTTGTTTGTGTTTTGGTTTTTAGTTTTTTTTATTGAGTTTTTGTGCATTTCATACAATAGTTTTGTTTTGGTTTTTTTTTTGGTCTTTTTGAGACAGGGTCTCCCTGTAGCCCCAGCTGTCCTGGAACTCACTATGTAGACCAGGCTGGCCTTGAACTCAGAGATCCAACTGCCTCTGCCTCCCGAGTGCTGGGATTTATTTATTTTTATGTGTATGAGTGTATTGCCTGCATGTAGGTAAGTGCACCTGTGTCATGCAATGCGCTCGGAGGTCAGAAGAGGGTGTCGGATACCCTGGAACTGGAGGTAGGAACAGTTGTTAGCTGCCATGTGGGTGCTGGAAATTGAACCTGGGTCCTCTGCAAGAGCAGTCTGTGTTCTTAACTGCTATCTCTCCAGGTCCCATACAATAGTTCTTAATCAAACTTAGACCCCCTCCCCCATCCATGTCCCCACATAGCACCCCCCATAAGACCTCATGCATTCTGCTATATATAAGTACCATCCAATTAAGCATTTGTACCCAGATGTCCTTCAGTGCAGTGACTAGAGTAGAGTCTAGTCAGCCTATCTAGAGTGCTTAAGGAAGATCTACAGGGGCCATTTTGGAAGAGGGGGAAGATTGTAAGAGCCAGGGTTGTTCTATGAACATAGGAATACAGAGGCTTTTAGGCTATTGGAAGCTTGCTCATGTTAACATGCGGCAATGGTGGCATCATGCACAGACAAGGGCCCAGTGTGGAGCGAGAGAAATGTGCAGTGGGTAGCCCTAGCCTGAGAAATGTGGCAACTGATTACTGTTGGGTGAGGGAGAGTAGATCTTAAGATCTCTAGAAAAGTGGTTTTTTTGTGTTTTTTTTTTTTTTTTTGAGAGAGTCTCACTGTGTACCCCAAGTTGGCTTCTAACTACTGAGTCTCCTGCTTCAGTTTCCAAAGTGCTGGGATTATGAATCACTCTTACATTCCTGGGATAAATTCCATTTGACATGGTGTTTAATCCCTTTAATATGCTGCTCAATTTGGTTTGCTAGTATTTTGCTGAAAATTTTCCCACATATTCATTCACATGGGAATGAATAAATCGATATGTAGTATTTTTTTTATTTATGTGTCTCTGTGTGTGTGCCTGCATGAATTTATGTGTAGCACATGCCTGCAGAGATCAGAAGAGGGTGTCAGATCCTCTAGAACTGGAGTTACAGGTGGTAACTGATGAGTCACCTGATATGGATACTGGGAACTAAATCAGGTCTTCTGCAAGAACATTAAATGATTAAATGCTCTTAAGTGCCTAGCCATTTCTCTACTCCCTTGATTTGTAATCTTACTGTGATGCCATTTATAACTTTGGTGTGAGTCAAAAATATTTGTTTTTGTAGCCAGGCGTGATGGTGCACGCCTTTAATCCCAGCACTCAGGAGGCAGAGGCAGGTGGATCTCTGTGAGTTCAAGGCCAGCCTGGTCTACATAGTGAGTTCCAGGACAGCTGGGGCTACAGGGAGACCCTGTCTCAAAAAGACCAAAAAAAAATTTTGTTTTTAGTTGTATAAGTTATTTTATTTCTTCTGGACACATGTCTCTTGTACAATATATTTTTTGTAAATGCCTTTCCCAGGCTGTAGACTAACTTTTCACATTCTTTTTTTTTGTATATGATTTTTATTCTCTCTCTCTCTCTGTGTGTATGTGTGTGTGTGTGTGTGTGTGTGCTTTGAGACTGGGTTTCACTATGCAGCTCTGCTGGCCTGGAACTCACTATAGACCAGGCCAGATGAACTCACGGATATCCACCTGCCCCTGCCTCCTGAGTGATGGGTTTAAAGGTATGCAACACTACACCTGACAGTATGTGATTTTTTTTTGAGACAGGGTTTGTTATGTAGCTCTGGCTAGCCCTGACGCTCAGTAAGTAGGCTGGCCTTGAACTCAGAGTGATTTTCTTGTCTCTTGTCTCTAATCCAAAATGCTGGGATTACAGTTCTTGGGGAAAACACTGTGAGTGATCTCAGCATAGTAAGAGGAACACTTCCAGCTCCTTAACATTGTGGACCAGGAACTTCTGGAAACCACTGGGCAGCATGTGCTTTGTTTTCTTGCTCCCATAATCTATGTTGGGCATCAGTATTTAGACCCTTGAATCTTCTCCACACCCTGTTGCCAATACCCTTGGGTTTCCACAAGTTGCACTTAATTTTGACATATTGGTCTGATTGGTACTGGATGAACTTCTTGGTCCTCTTTTTTGATGATCTTGGGCTTCACCAGAAGTCTGAAGACAGCCATGATGCTGTGCAGGAGATGACACAAGGCTTAATGGTAACTTTGTAGCATAAAAGTTTTAAATTTTGTTGAAGTTCAACTTATCAGCTGTCTCTTTTATCTTTTATCAGCTATACTTTTGGTGTCATAAGAAGTCATTGTGTAACAGAGTCATGAAGATTTTCTCTGACGTTAAAAATTATTTATTCTTGATAGGCCTGGTGGCACATACCTTTAATCCCAGCACTTGGGAGGCAGAGGCAGGTAGATCTCTGTGAGTTCAAGGCTAGCCTGGTATACATAGTGAGTTCCAGGAGACCTTGTCTCAAATAGACAAAAAAATTATTTATTCTTTGAAAAATTTCATATTTGTACTCAATGTGTTTTGATTAAACCCACCCCCACTCTCACTGAGACCCTCCCAATCCATCTCCCTCAACATTTCATGTCTTCTTTTATCTCTTATAATTTTTGTGTGCATATGTGTTCATGTGTATTTACATGAGTGTGCATGTGAGAGCTAGAGGTTGACACTGGATATCTTTTTAAATTTATTGTTTTAAAAATATTTTATTTTTATTTTGTATGTATGATTGTATTGCCTGCGTGTATTTCTGTGCACCTGTATCATGCAATACCCTTGGAGGTCAGAAGAGGGCGTCAGATACCCCTGAAACTGGAGTTATGATGTCCTGGGAATCAAACCTGTGGAGTCTGAAAAGCAATTAGTGCTTCTAACCTGTGAGCCATCTCTCCACCCCCGAGATTGGATATCTTAATCATTCTCCTTTTTTTCTATTGAGGGTCTCTTCTGAATTTGGGACTTGCTCCAGGGATCCTCCTGTTTCTCCTTCCTCAGTGTTGGGATTACACTGTTGTACCCAGTTTTGTCATGTTGGTTCTGGGGAACTGAACTCAGGTTGTCATGCCTGCATGGCAAGCACTTCACTTACTGAGCCATTCCCCCAACTTTGTGCTTTCTTTTCTTTTTTTTCTTAAATAAAAGGAACAGTTTAAGCCGGTCATGGTGGCGCATGTCTTTAATCCCAGCACTTGGGAGGCAGAGGCAGGTGGATCTCTGTGAGTTCAAGGCCAGCCTGTTCTACATAGCGAGTTCTAGGACAGCTGGGGCTACAGAGAGACACTGTCTCAAAAAAGACCAAAAAGAAAAAGGAAAAGTTTATTTGAGCTTACAGTTCCAGGGGAATTACAGTCCATCTTGGCGGGGAGGCATGGCGGCAGAGGTGACTGGAGGAGGAGCAGCAGAAGCTAAGCTCTACATCTTCAGCAGGCACAGGAAACAAAAGCTTTTGCTTTCTTTTAATACAGTTTATCCCTTACACTTAGATTTATAATCCAGTTTGAGTCAGTTTTTATATATGATATGATGTAGATCTCTATATCCATCCTTTTGAACTACATATCCAGCAATTATTCCATTTGTTGAAAAGACTGTTTCTTCCCTGTTGAATTGTTTGGCCCCTTTGCCAAAAACCATTTGATCTCCAGGGTTAGGGTGCATGATATATTTTTGCTTTCATTTGGCACTCATCCCTGGTAGAGCTTCCTTCTGATTACGATTTATGTTTCTGACTTCATTGGTCATCATTTATTTCTATTTCATTTTATTTTATTTTAGTTATTCTATCTTAGTTTACCTTATCCTGTTCTATTTTATTTTATTGGTCTTTTTGAGACAGGGTCTCCCCGTAGCCCCTGCTGGCCTGGAACTCACTATGTAGACCAGGCTGGCCTTGAACTCACAGAGATCCACCTGCCTCTGCCTCCTGAGTGCTGGGATTAAAGACATGTGCCACCACACCCAGCATCTGCTTATTTTTTATAGTTGACTACAAGTTTAACTCTCAAGGCTTGGAGCTCGAACACTCTCGAACCTCATTTGTAGGCATCCTTCCATGCACACAACTCTCTGACTTAACTAGTATCTTTCCTGTGCCTTAATAAAGCCATGGAGGGAAGATGAAATACAAAATCTGAATCAAGAGATGGTTTTTAGACCCATATAACTTTCACAGAATCCCTCTCCATCTTGGCAAAGTTGGTATTTACCAGGACTCACATATTACAGCATACTACTTGATATAAAAACATTTACAAATAAGAATGCTAAACTGCCTGACCTCCTTTATATCAAACTTCTTGAAATACTCCCTTAAGTGGGGGGGGGGGCAACCACTCAGCTTATTTTCCTTTAATGTTTTACTGGTACCTCTCTAGGATGACTCACAACTCTTATTCTCCTATACTGATTTGACTGTACTGTACTTCCTGTCATTTTTATCCCCTATGTTCACCAATTCATTTTATCAATAGTTTTAGATGTAAGGCCTCCAATAGGACCAGATTCCCAGGACATCCTCTGTAGTATCTTAGGAGCCATTTTACTGCTGTGCCTCAACTTCACAATCAAGATCTTGAACACTTTTCTGCTCTACATGTCTTACCCTTCTGTCTTCTTCTAAACTGAGACCTCAATTTGAAATTATTTTAAAGATTTTAATGAAGCAAAAGTAAATACATTAGATGTTTCAACAAGCCTTTAATAGGTAATAGAATTCTCCCACTGCTTAAATAACCATGAAACTGAAAACTTGGCTCTGGAGGAATAATACTTAATGCTTAATTGGGATGACAATACTTCCAGAAAAATTGGCTTTCTCTAACACAAAACAACACTAGTACTCACCTCTTTGGAAGAATGTGCTGATCATGAATGCAAAGAAAATTGTGGCAATGGCAAAACACATTAGAAAAACAAATATCAAAATAGGGTCACTGTTCTTGAACACAGCCACATTTTTAACCTACAAAATAATCACAGATGGACATCATCTTTACATGGAAAGAATATGAAGAGAGTACCCATAAAACACTGCAGAAAATATTTTTATTTTTGTTTGGGTTTTAAAAAAATTTTTATTTAATGTGCCTGAGTGTTTTGCCTGCATGTATCTTAAGAGCATTCATGTTCTACAATGCCCATGGAGTTCAGAAAATGGCATCAGATCCCCTAGAACTGGAGTTATGGATGGTTGCTGGCCGCCATGTGGGTGCTGGGAACTGAATCCAGGTCCTCTAGTATTCTTACCTGCATAGTCATCTCTCTTGCCCCAGAAAGAAAATTTATTTTATTATTTTTATTTTATGTGTATGAGTGTATTGCCTGCATGTATGTGAGTGCACCTGTATTGTGCAATGCCTCAGAGGTCAGAAGAGGGCTTCAGAGTCCTCTGGAACTGGAGTTAAGGACTGTTGGTAGCTTCCATGTGTGTGCTTGGAATCAAACCCAGGTCCTCTGCAAGAGCAGTCAGTGCTCTTAACCACTGAGCAATCTCTCCAGCCCTAATAAAAATTTTTTAAATTCGGGATTATACATAAATTTTTGAGGCAGATATTTGATCTAGCATTTGTTATTTGTAAATTATGCTGGGTTTTTTTTCAAATGAGCTTGGATTTAATTTTTAACCCAATATGATTTTTTTCTTTTGGGGGGGTATACTGGCTATTGAATGATGGGCCTTTTATATATGCTAGGCAGGTGCTCTACCACCTAGCTACACCCCCAGCATAAGTTTAACTCATTTGTCATAATCACTATGACAGACAGTTTTGGAATTCCTTTTGATATCTTTTATCTTCTCTTTTTAATGTTTTCTGGATATTTCCTTTTTTTGAGACATTCTCCCATCTTAGTCTTGATTTTCTTAACTTCCCTTGCTCACACTGACCCAATTTAGTAATATAGAAGGTACATTTTCATATATCCAAGTAGTGGGTTATAGTTTAGTCATAAATGCAAACTGGCAAATGCTAATACCAAGTTCCATTGATAGCGTATAAGCAACACATGATAACATGGACATAAAAGAGTGTTTTACATAAGTACTTTCAACTATTTATACAGTATGAAATCATACAGTATGAAATGTTCATTTTATTTTTAAATTATTTATATATATATGAGTGTTTTACCTGCATATATATAAATGCATCCATGCATGCAATGTCTGGGGAGGTCAGAAGAGAGTGTTGGATGCCTGGAACTGGAGTTACAGATAGTTGTTAGCTATTATGCGGGTGTTGGGAACTGAACCTGGGTCCTCTGCATGAGCAGCCAGTGCTGTTAGCCATTGAACCATCTCTCCAGACCCCAAATTCATAATGTTTTAAAGTTTATAAAAATACATTTTATATTCCCAAAGAACCTAAATAGTAGGTTTGGTGCAATAGCACAAGCCTGTAATCCCAGGACTTGGGAGGTAGAGTTATGAGGAGTAACACAAATTTAAGGCCAACCTGATCTACATAGCGAATTCCAAGCCAGCCAGGGCTCCATAATGAGCCTCTGTCTCAAAAAAAAAAAAAAGAAGGAAAAAGAGAAGGTGGAGGAATGCCTAATTCTCTCACATTGCAGCATATCCATCTGAGTCTTTCTAAGTGGTTATCAATAACTGTATCACTTATAACACATCAGATATTTTCTATCTATTCATAGCCCAGTGAATTCTAAAGAATAAAAGTTACATACCTTTGTGCAGAAGAGAACAGTCATAACAGAAACAGCAATTAAGACAGAAACAAAGAACGTGATGAACCAAGCAACCCAGTGCAGCCAGCTCTCCAATCCCATCATACACATGTATTCCTAGAAAAATCAAAAGAGCCAGACATTATAGTCTAGGTCTCAGTCCCAGCCAGTCCAGTTTGGGAGTCTGTTACTGAAACTTCAGCAGACTAGGATGACAGGTTATCATATATATGTACTGGGGAAAGGCAGCTACTGGAGCTGATGGAGACTAATTCAGCTAAAAGGACAGAGAATAAACTAGTGACTAGGCACTGTATTAAATCTTCTTTAAACAAAAATACAGTCCAGAGACTTTAAAAGTAGAATACATAATGAGTTTAGACTTTTAAAAGCTGGATATAGTGGTATATGCCTGTAATCCCAGCATTTGGGAGACAATGACTGGAAAATTGTTACAAGTACAAGGCTAGTCTGGTCTACATAGCAAGTACCAGGCCAGCTAGAGCTTCATAGTGAGACCTTGTCTCAGAAAAAAAAGAGCTTGGACTTTATGTTCAGGGCCATTTGTTTATAGGACACATTCAATAAATGAATGAACTAACAGTATATTCATCATCTGAATCACAGGTGTGTACTACCATGCATGACTTCAAAAGTGTTAACATTCATCTAAAAGGAAGATTCAAGTATAAAAGAGGAAACATATGATCAATAAATGACTAAAGTATAGACATTTAATGATCACCAGCTCTCTACATGTTTGGTGTTGAAGCAACTAACAACTCGGGAAGGTCGAATTTTATTTTACAACTGGAAACCAAATGGGTAGCCAGGCCACAGAGCAGAAGCTATTAGTTCCCTGGAGGTTTTTCAAGAGGCTCATGGAGTGCCTGCCTCTTAGCCCACTGTTCCATTGTCATCCATCCCAAGAGAAAGAAGGCCCTGACTTCTTGCCACATCAGAGTAGAATCAATGCACCCCACAGGTGGCCTCAAGAAGCACCTCAGTCATTCTGTTTCTTCTGACTGCACAAGACAAAGCCGACCAGGGAAAATAGTTCTGCAGACACAGATGTCATCAATAAAGCTAAGGGAAGCCCAGAGAGACACTGCAAGACTTTTTTAACTTGCATTTATCAGAATTAATGAAAAAGCTGGGTGTGGTAACACACGCCTTTAATCCCAGCACTTGGGAGGCAGAGGCAGGCAGATCTCTGATTTCAAGGCCAGCCTGGCCTATGTAGTGAGTTCCAGGCCATCTGTAGCTACAGGGAAACCCTGTCTCAAATAGATAGAGAGAGAGAGAGAGAGAGAGAGAGAGAGAGAGGAAAATTTAATAATCAGAAGATTTTAGCCAAGTGTAGTAGAACAAGGCTATAATTCTAGCATTGGGAGGCTAAGGCAGAAAGAATACAAGTTCAAGGTTCAAAGGTTCAAAGTCAGCCTGGATAACACAGAGGGTTCCAGATCACTATTGGCTACACAGTGAGGCACTGTCTGAGAAAGGGCAGAAAGTGAGAAAATAAGTAATAGAGGCTAGACAACCAGAAAAAGACAGATAGTGAGTAAAGCCAGTTATTTCAGGAGCAACTCAGAGGAATCAAACCTTAAGTTGTGTCTTCCTAAAAGATGCTTCCAATATCTACCTTACCACAAAATGGAAGTGGAAGTGAGTTCATCCTGAATGACCATTCCTTCTATACAAGTATTTTCTGAACACCTGCCCTGCTAGAAGCACTGCTAACAAACATACTAGGAACTATTACTCTAGGCAATCTAAAAGCAAGAATATGGGGCTGCAGAGATGGCTCAGCAGTTAAGAACACTGGCTGTTCTTGTAGAAAACCCAGGTTGGAATCCCAGCACCCACATGGCAGCTAACAACTGTAATATCCAATTCCAGGGGATCTGATGACCTCTTCTGTCTTCCACAGGCACTGACGTGACATGGGTACACTTACATACATGCAGGCAATACATGCATACACATAAAATGAAAATAATAAATAAAATATGTTTAAAGTTTGTAATAATAGGAGATAGTACTCCCCAATCTGTAAGCAAGATAAAAATATGAAAGCACTTTTAATTTCCAATTCACTTGAGAGGCTGCATTGGCTCCCAAGCATCTTCCTACCTGCTTGGACTTTGGGACTACTCAAGTCTTTTTTCATTAGCAGTCTCCTCCTAGCCCTGTCCCAGAAGAGGTGTCCATTAGAAGACAGAGTTACCTTCAGTTTCTTCTCCTTCTCCAGTGCAACTGAATTGATAGTGATAAGCTCAACACAAATAAAGCTGAGCATGAGAAGCAGAGGGAACTCATTCTGAAGGATCATGAAGAATGAGTCGCAGATATGGGGACCATATGGGAATCTCTGCAGCAGCACATGGAGATTCTTAAACATATTGAATGTTGCATTGGGAGCATGGTGCCACATGATGGCTTTGTCTACTGCATGCTGTATTGCCAGGAAGCCTTCCTTGTTATAACCTATAAGAAAACAGAATGTCAACCATAAGAAAATAAGACTGAAGATTGAAACAACTGATGATTCTGGTGGATCATGGCTAGTAGTTAAGACAGACAGCAACAAGAAAGCATCCCTAGAGGCCTCAAGCTAATGTAGGACCCTGAGACCCTCTTCATTCACCTGCTGCCCCCCAATCCCTCCAGACCCCCACTAATTGCTCTTTTAGTTTCTGTAAAATGCTTGGCTGCTGCTTTAGACATGGCTAGACATGCCCTGACCCCCGCCGGCTATCCCCCCCCTTCCAGGAAACTATAGATTAAGCAAGCCCGAGCATGAACACTGCCCTATAAGGTAAAAACAGAGACTCCTGGCCCCACAGATAACAGTCAACACATTCCACAGCCCTGAGAATAGCACCTACCAATAAGAAACTTCCAGGGCTGCATCTTATACATCCAATCAGTTTAAAATTATGTTGGCATGCGAGGCTCCTTGAACCAACCAAAATGTATCTTCGGTATCCCCCTCCTCTCTTTGTCTAAAACCTATAAAAGGCTCCACTCTCCCTTACTCTGGGCTCTCAGCACAGATCCGTTGAGTTGGTGAGGTCTGAGAGCCCGAGCTTAAGCCCGAATAAACCATAAACCTTTGCTTTTGCATTTTGGTGTTGGGTCCTTGGTGGTCTTTTTGGGGTCCAGTGGATGAGGTACAACACTACAGCATGGAAGACAGAGTCTCTTTAGAGTACTGTGGAGCTGAAGCAGTGAGGTCTATGATCTGAAAATGAGATATGAGTCCTGGGCAGAAAAACAAGGCATGTTCTACCCAAGAACCCTCTAAGGTAGGGACTCACCTTCGTTAGTTCTCAGGCTTTGGGGACGGGGTGCCTGTTCAGCAGTTTTGATCATCCAGCATGTTCAAGATGGTTAAACTCAAAAGTATTGAAAGACCACAGACATCCCGATCTAGTGAGACCTGTTTTCTTAATTGTAATAGCTGCATAGTCCAAGTGTTAAATTTCTGTATTTTGCTGCCAAGCCACAAATACTATCTTTATCATAAGCGACCCTCACTTCAATGGTGGATTTGATGTACCAGGGTCAGCTTACAATAAAAGTAGATTGAAAGGTAAAGATCCCCTGAGTGGTGTCTGCCCCAGCTTCAAGCAAGGGCAACCAGCCCTCAGGAAGGGATACTTTAGCCTTTTAGTGGAGGTGACTACTGCATCCATTGCTTAGACTTAGGCAGACCCTCTCTCTGCCCCAGATCTGTCAGAATGGAAAAGGGAGGAACAAATTGCTGGTAATGAGTTCTGGAAACTGCTATGCTTTCTTATTTGTTTTTTTTTTTTGTTTGTTTTTATTTTTTTGTTTTGTAGGAGTGTTTTCACTGCACAACTGTAGAATATTTTGTAGGATATATAGCACTTATGTAGATATATATCCCAGTTGGTGGGCATGCAGACCCAAGACTTCAAGCCGAATTATGTGGTCATCCTATAATTGGGTGTGGTTATCAATTTACTTTTTTTGGTTTTTTGAGACAGGGTCTCCCTGTTGGGGCTTGCTATGTAGACCAGGCTGGCCTCCATCTCACAGAGATCTGCTTGTTTCTGCTGTGATTAAAGGTGTGTGCTACCACCCCCAGTTCAATTCACTTTTGTTAGAACAACTAGTTGCCTAATGGGTGTTCAGCCTAAACCACTCACAAATATGGAAACCAAGAAATTTAAAGTGAATTGGAAAATATGTATCTTTTGTGTGAGAATTGGCTCCTGGGCTGTCAGTCAGGAAGGAATATGTTGCTAAATGTGAAGGAGAGGGGAATCTCAGTGATGTTTCACTACTCGATAAGTTTGGAGTTGCCAGAGAGAATTGGAAGCTGCTATGGTAAGGCAGGTCTAGAAAAACTGGATGCCAAATCAGGGTGTTTGCTCTGTTAGATATGGTTAGGTCCCTTTTCATGGAAGAGAACAAGCTGATGGAAAGCAGCCACTGAGCAAAACTCTACTTTTACTGGAAAGTTTCAGAGCATAAAGTCAGCACTGCTCCCTACAGAGAAAGACTATAGTATTTAGGAATCACAACCCAATTTTGGAGCCAGACATCATGCCTTAGGACAAACAGGAGCTCCTAGGAACTCCCCATTCTCTGGTTTTAATCTTAGCTGCTTATCTTGAGAAGACAGGGTGGGGGGAAGAGCTCTTTCCCAGGCTATGGTTCCAGACAGGGAGACAAAAAGATGGGCTTAGCCAGCCAAGACCATGATGGAGCTAGTATTCTCCCACCAGTGGTGGGGATGGGCAAGATGGACAGAATAGGAACCAAGGAGAGATCTAAAGGTTCAGAAAGAGCAAGTAAAATCAAATGAAGCATCAGCCAATGCAAAGGTCACAGAGTGTTCAGGAATGTGTGTGATATGGATGTGGGTGTGAAGAGAAGTCCACCTTTAGTATTGGTCCTCAGGAGCCATCATCTTGTTTTGTTGGGACAGGATCTCTCCACGGGACCTGGGGCTTGCTGATTAAGGGGCCAATGAGCCCCAAGGATCAGCCTGTTTCCACTCCCCAGTGCAGATTATAAGCACGTTCCACCATGCCCAGTTTTTTACAAGTTCCGGGGAATTTAAATTTGTGCTTATGTAGCATTCTATCAACTGAGCCGTCCCAAGTTCAGGAATTCTGGAGGCAAGAGTTTGAAGATTCCCTTTGTGCTGGGTAGCTTTAGTGTCAACTTGACACACCTGGGTTGAGGGAGCCTCAATCGGGAAATTGCCTCTATTGGACTGGCCTGTGGCCATGTCTGAAGGGCATCTTCTTGATGAGTGATGTGGGAGGGCCCAGCCCACTGTGGGTGGTGCCATCCCTGGGCAGGTGGGCCTGTGTTGCATAAGAAAGCAGGCTGAGCAGGGGCCAAGAGAGCAAGCCTGTAAGCAGCGTTCCTCCATGGCCTGTGCTCCAGCTCCTGCCTCCAGGTTCCTGCCCTGAGTTCCTACCTTGGGCTCCCTGATGAGCTGCGTGCGACCTGGGAGATGTAAGACAAATAAACCCTTTCCTCCCCAAGTTGGTACTGGTCAGAGTGTTTTGTCACAGCAATGAAGAACAAACTAGGACACCCTTAAAGCAAAAGCAGGATCTTTGGAACTACACAAGCAGGCAGTGGGTCCTGCAGCAGCATAGATAGTTGTTTCTGTTCCTCCTTCATTAAACTAAGAGGGGAGGGGGACAGAACAAATAATGCTGCCTGCAGGGGGAAAAGGGAGGCCAAGCAAACTTTACGTAGTAAATCCTGTTTCCTCCATGATGATGGATCCCTAAATAACTGGCAGCCCATGGTCGATACCTGTTACGGTTCCATTTTGACCTGCATATCTGCTTCCCAAGAAACATAGACAAGCTACTTGGCAGGCTACTTGAGAACTACAGAGACCAGGTGGCTGTGCTCAAGCAAGTATGCTGGTATCTCTCAAATTCTCTGGCTGAGTTCTGGCCCCTAACCAAAACATACATTCAGGCAAAAGCTGGTATGGCAGAATATGTGAACGTTGTATTCTCTAGCCTCAGAGATGACCTTCCTGACAGTAATCTTGAAAGCTACCATTACATCAAGGTAAATTCCCACACAACATTCCAACATCAGAAAATTTTTGTTTTGGCAGTGCTCAAGATTGAACATAAGGTTTGGGGCATGATAGGCAAGTGCTATACCATGAGATATATCCCTAGCCCAGTAATAAATTTCCCAGAATGAAAAGAGGAAAAGGTGGAGGATTCATTATTTTATGGTAACCTCAACAAATTAAGAAAATCACTTAAGTTATAGTTTGTAGAGAGCAACACCAAATACTTTAAAAATATTTTGGTTTATTTTTATGTGTATGAGTGTTCTGCCTACATGTTATCTAAGTGTATCATGTGCACACAATGCCCAAGGAGGTCAGAAGAGGGCATCAGATCCCCTGGAACTGGAGTTACAGACAGTTGTTAGCCTCCATGTGGGTGCTGGGAAGTGAACCCAGTTCCTCTGCATGAGCAGCCAGTGCTATTACCCGCTGAGTCATCTCTCCAGCCCAAATCTATTTTTTAAACAAAAACGTTAATACACATAGGAAACTCACACTCCTTGTTCCTGTATAATGCTTTTACTCTTCCTTCAAACAATTCAACATTAAACAATCAAAATACATACCTGCTATTTGAAATTACTCTAGATATAATAAGCATTTTACTGAATGCCACATTTTCCAAAGGCAGCTCCTTCAACCTCTATTGAAATGCCAAGCTTAGTAAGTATTCAGGTAGCAAAACAACGAAAAATAGTATCACAAATATGTAGCACAGGACAAAAGTGGCTGTGCTTATGGTAATGTAACAGGCTTCAGAGTTTCCTCACCAGGATTTCCGCCATTAGAATAAGCAAATTCCCGGGGTCCTTGGCTTAGATTAGGAGGATAAAGTAGGGCTGTACACCAGCCTTCTATGTCCTCTAGAATAAATAAATGCTTCAATGATGGTTCAAAGTTCCTCTGAATATAACTGAAGCGCAAGTCATACTTTATCTATGAAAAACAAAGAAAAAATTTATTTGGTTATGAGATCCTGAGATTCGTAATGTTACAGGACAGAGCAAAACTGTGCTTGGCATTAACTGTGACAATAGAAAAGGCCCACAAAGGAAGGTGTCCCTTCCAGAACCACTCCAACAAGGCTTTCACTGCATTTCTCTGCAAATTAACCCTGTGACCCACCTGGAACTATAGCAATACACTATTGAGTGCCATGGAGCCAACTCCAAATTCCTATCAAAGAGCTGTCACCCTGAGTAAGTTTCTTAACTTTATGTTCAGTTTCCTCATCAGTAAAAGAAGGCAATATTAACATCCTCTGACCTATAGCCAGCCTGTAGGATTACATAAATGGTATCTAAAACATGCCTGACATTAATAAGTGCATGTAAAATATTGGCGGTTTTTGTTGTGTTTGTTTTGTTTTTTTGTGACAGGGTCTCACTATGTAGCCCTGGCTAGTCTGTAACTCCCTATGTAGACCAGGCTGGCGTCAATCTCAAGAAATCTGATTGCCTCTGCCTCCCAAGTGCTGGGATGAAAGGCGTGCGCCACCATGCCTGGCAACACTACTTTTTCTCTAAACACACATGCAGATCTACCATATTTGAAGTCTGTAAGATTAGTAATATTGACAATAACTAATCAAACTGGAAAATTCCTGCCCCCATCTACCTAACTGCACTGTTCTAAGCATTTTGTAAGCACAAATCTATTTAATTCTTGCAATGAACTCGTAAGTTAGGCACTAATTTTAACTACTACACCAGCAATGACACAGAGCTCCAGAAATGCTAGAAACTTTCCTGAAGTTGCACAGCTGTTAAATTGCAGAACTAGGGTTCAAATTTCTGTGGCCTGTAATCAAGCAGATGAAAACATTCCATCCTGTACTAAGGACAGAGACTTATTCAGATCTAATTTCTATTTAAAAATCTGAAAACTAAAGGAATCATGTAAGATGTGAACCTGAAATAGTCATTCATTTCCTCTGGAAATAAAATGACAAAGCTGCCACAGAGGAAAGCTGAGGGGCAGATCAGCTTGATTAACCCATACTCAAGGTGTGGTCACATAATTACAGGAAGGATTTTCTTACCCTAAGTGGCAAAGGTTCATTGCTGTCATTGAAGTTATGTTCAAAAACAATTCCCACCAATATGTAGAAAGCCTTGGGATCCTTAATTATGTACTTCTCAAAAAAAGGGACTGAAGGAAAGCCTAGAACTACAGAGAGAAAAATCCAATCAGTGAATAGCTAAGTATGAAAGCAAGTGCTGCCAGGCCTCCCTAATCCTCCCCCCTTACCTAACGAGATATGAGATGCCAGTGTATTTCTCCATTCATTCACTCATTCATTCTGCAAGCATATGAGCACAGAGAGAATAACACAGTAAGAGAAGTTAAGACATGACAGGTTATTTAATTCCAAATTTTAACCGGGAAGGCTGCAGTCCATCAAGGAAGTAATGATAAGGAAGGGAGCTAACTTATTTATGATGTGAGTACAAGTGCATGTGGAAGTCACAGGACAACTCTGAGGGCTGGTTCTCTGCTTCACTGTTATTTGGGTTCCAGGGATGGAACTCAGGTTGTCAAGCCTATATGGCAAGCACCTTTATGCACCAGCCATGTTGCCAGCACTAACTTTTTTATTTCTTTTTTTGGTTTTGTTTTTTTTTTTTTGAGACAGGGTCTTCCTGGAGCCCCAGCTAGCCTGGAAGTCACTATCTAAACTAGATCAGGCTGGCCTCAATCTCAGATATCCCCCTGCCTCTGCCTCCCAAATGCTGGGATCAACAGCACCACTCCTGGCTCCAGCCCTAATTTTTTTTTTTATCTTTTTGAGACAGGATCTCCCTATTGGCACTTGCTATGTAGACCAGCCTGGCACCTCACAGAGATCTGCCTGCCTCTACCTCTGCCTCTGCCTCCCAAGTGCTGGGACTAAAGGCATGCACCACCATGTCCAGCAATTTAGGCCTTTGTATATGGGGACTACTACATGAACTGAAAATATATACACAAAATGGTATATAAAAGGCAGACAATAAAGGTGTTCACACAGTAAGATCCTATTTTTATGCATTTATATAATTAGAAAAAGGACAGGAAGGGCACACATTTTAAATAATGAGTGCACTTTCATACACACACACACACACACACACACACACACACACGACAGTTCTTACCATGTTTAGGTTTCTCTTCTTTTTTAACTCAAACAACTTTTACAGAGTTCATATGTTCAATTATTCCAGTTGTTTTTTGTTTTGTTTCTGAGACAGGGCATCCCTGTAGCCCCAGCTGGCCTGGAACTTACTATGCAGACCGAGGTGGTCTTGATCTGCCTGCCTCTGTCTCCCCAGTGCTGGGATTAAAGGTATGAGCCACCATGCCCAGATTCTTTTGTTATTTTAATATTTTTATTAATTCTTTGAGAATTTCATATAATGTATTTTGATGATATTCACCCCAATCCTCCCCAATTCTTTCCAGGTCCACCCCCACCTCCCTGTCCACCTCAACTTTGTGTCTTCTAATTTTTTTTTTTTTTGGTCTTTTTGAGTCAGGGTCCCTCTCTGTAGTCCCAGCTGGCCTGGAACTCCTTATGTAGACCAGGTTGGCCTTGAACTCACAGAGATCCGCCTGCCTCCCCCTCCCAAGGGCTGGGATTAAAGGCATGAGCCACCACATCCGGCCTTTTTAATTTTTTTAATAATACATTGAGTCTAACTTATGCTGTCCATATACTTCTAGTTTGGGGGCCATCCATTGGAGAACAGTTGACTTCCCAGGGGACACACCCTTAAAGCAAACCGATTGCCCTCCCCCAAAACCATCAACTGTCCATAGCTTCTCACAAGCCCCCACCCTCTTCATGCTAGAATGTTAACTGTCTTAATTGTGTGCAGGCAACCACAGCTCTCTGAGTTCATGAGTGCAGTGGTTCTATCCTGTTCAGAAGATAATATTTCAGTCCAGTTCTCTCTGATCTGGGGGTAGAGGTGATAGAAATGTCCCATTTACAGCTGAGCATAGGTTTCTTTTCTTTCTTTCTTTCCCTTTTTTTTTTTTTTTTTTTTTTTTTGAAACAGGGTCTTTCTGAAACTGCAGCTGGCCTGGAACTCTCTATGTCAACCAGGCTAGCCTCGAACTCACAGAGATCTGCCTGCCTCTGCCTCCCAAGTGCTGGAATTAAAGGCAGGTTTCTTTTTTATATATACACACACATAGTTAAATTGTGAAAATAATATGCATATATGAAGGTATATAAGACACAAATAGTTTAATAATTTTTTTAAAGATTGATTTACTGGCCGGGCGTGGTGGCGCATGCCTTTAATCCCAGAACTCAGGAGGCAGAGGCGGATGGATCTCTGTGAGTTCGAGGCCAGCCTGGTCTCCATGGTGAATCCAGGACAGCTGGGGTTACAGGGAGACCCTGTCTCAAAAAGACCAAAATAAAAAAAGAAGATTGATTTATTTTGGCCGGGGCATAGTGCCTCATGCCTTTAATCCCAGCACTTGGGAGGCAGAGGCAGGTGGATCTCTGTGAATTCTAAGCTAGCCTGATCTATATAGGGAGTTCCAGGCCAGCTGGGGCTATAGGATGACCCTGTCTCAAAAAATACCAAAAAAAGAAAGTTTGATTTAATTTCATGTGTATGTTTTGCCTGCATGTATGTATGTGTGCATCACATGTATGTAATGCACATGGATATCAAAAAAAGGCATCAGATCCCCAGAACTGAGATTATAGGCAGTTGTAAGCTGCCATGTGGGTGCTAGGAATTGAAACTGCATCCTCTGCAAGAACAGCAAGTACTAACTACTGATCCATCTCTCCAGTCCCTCTCCAGGCCTATTTTAATGAACTGTTAATTAAAATTAACACCCAAGTAATCCACCTCTTGAATCAAGAAATAAAGTATATACTGGATATGGCATCACATGCTTTTAATTCTAGTACTCATGAGGCAGAGGCAGGCAGATCTCTGTGAGGCTGAGGCCACTGTGGTCTACATTCTATATAGGGAGTTCCAAACCAGCTGAAACTACAGAGAGTATCTCTGTCTCTGTCTCTGTCTCTCTCTGTCTCTGTCTGTCTGTCTGTCTCTCTCTCTCTCTCTCACACACACACACACACACACACACACACACATACACACACACAAAAAAAAGAATCTTACCCAGAATCTTAAAATTTTAGTTTCTTATTGTTCATTTAATGCATGTAATATATACTTAGTATTTTATCCAATATTTTCTTTCAATTAAATAGTTCATCCAAATAGCCTAGTCAACAATAAACTATATTACCACCAACAAGTACCACTTTTTCAGAAATTCCTAGGAAATATCTCCTTGTCTCATTACCTCTAAGCATTCTCTTTGGACAAATCATCACAACAGATATCAAAGTGCAAACTGGTTTAAGTGTCAGTTACATAAGCCCAGGGTGGTGTCAGCACCATCAAATATACATGGACTGAGAATGGGAGAAAGATTAGGCCTCCAGAAATAGGCGGTGGTGTCAAAAAGGGAAAGAAAAAAAAAAAAAAACAGCTGCCACAGTTTGGAATGGATCATGAAGCTGTTGTTAGTCTAACATCAAGAATTTACTTAAGAGGATGAGTGGTAAATTCAGGAGGTGCTTAAGAGATTTGCGGTTAGGGGATAAAAAAGGAAAAGTTACTTTTTATTCCATTTTTTTTACATTGCTTGAAAATTTCAATGCAAAGAATTTCTATATTTTTGGGTTGGAGAGATGGCTCAGTAAGTTAAAGTGCTTGCTGTGCACAAGTGAGAACCTGAGTGCAAAACTCCAGAACCTATGTAAAGGCGAGACACAGTAGCACGAGCAACCATAATCCAATCCCAGTACTCCTAAGGAAGATGGGCAGTGAAGACAAGACCCCAGAAACTCAGGGCCAGTTATCCTGGCACAGACAACAGAAAAACAATAAACAAACCCTGTTTCAAACAAGGGAGAAGGTGAGAACTAATACATGGACACCATATCATATGCCTGCCCACAATCACACACACAAATGTGCACACATACACATACACCACATACATACACACAAACACACAATAAATAAGTTAAACAAATAAAAAAGAATTCCTATATTTATTTACTGTAAGCTTTCAGATACCAGTTTGGTTTTTTTGTTTTGTTTTTTGTCTTTTTGAGACAGGGTCTCCCTATAGCCCCAGCTGGCCTGGAACTCTCTATGGAAACTAGACTGTCCTTGATCTCACATAGATTCACCTGCCTCTGCCTCTGGAGTGCTGGAATTAAAGGCCTACGCCATCACAACCACACCCAGCCTACAAAAAAATTTCAATCCCAGAAAAATATATCTCAAGCCATTAAAAAACCCTAGAAAGTAGGATTTGAGATGGAAACCTTAACTTTTTATTTTAAACACTGTCTTGTTTCATGTGTCATGTCTGTAACAAAGAATGAAATAGAAAGGAAAGCAGGGAGCTGTTTGATATAAGAATGAGCAAAATTGGCTGGGTGTGGTGACACATGACTTTAATACCAGGACTCAGAAGACAAGGAGGGGGTCTCTGTAAATTTGAGGCCAGCCTGGTCTACATAGCCAAGATCCATGCCAACTAGGGCTACACTGTGAGACCTGTCAAAAAAAAAAGAAAAGAAAAAGCTATAGGCTAACTGAAAAAAAAAGGGTACAAAAAATGAAGAAAAAAAGATAAAAGTGGGGGCATCAGAAAGGCAGAAATAGAACACAGCACTATCCCGAGATTGAAAGCAGAATTGAGTTCTAAGGAGAAACTAGTTGGATACATCTTCATTATAATGAGGACCAAGAGAACGGGTTATACATAGCTCAATGGTAGAAAGCTCTTCGGGTATGTGTAAGCTGTGTAAGGCTCTGGTTTCCATACCCAGCACAGAGCGAGAGCGAGAGCGAGAGCGAGAGCGAGAGCGAGAGCGAGAGCGAGAGCGAGAGCGAGAGAGAGAGAGAGAGAGAGAGAGAGAGAGAATATGAGAATAAAGACTGCAAAGGAAGGCCTGGATCTGGCCATTAGCAAAACACTGACATTTTCTTCACAGATACTGGTATAGTACTAAGTGCAGAATAGCAATTACAATGAGTTATGAAAGGACTGAGAAGTAGTAAAGCAGAAATAAATAAAGCTTTCAAGATCTGGGGGAGGGGGGTATAAATTGCCTGAAGAAGGATCATAAAGAAAAGACAGAACAGAAACAGGAAATGTTTTCTTCTAAAGTAGAAGTGATTGAGGCTCACATGAAAGTGCTAGGAAAATCTACCCAGATAGAAATATTTCTCTGGAAGGAGAAGGTGCTGATAAAGAAAGTCCCTAAATTAAGCTGGGAGTGGTGGCGCATGCCCTTCATCCCAGCACCTGGGAGGCAGAGGCTTGCTAATGGCCATCTCTCTAATGGCCAGACCCAGGCCTTCCTTTGCAGTCTTTATTCATATTTTCTCTCTCTCTCCCTGTCTCCTCCTCTCCCCTTCTCCCCCCCACCCCCGGCCCCATGAGATCAAGGTCAGTCTCATCAGGAGTGAGTTCCAGACCAGCTTGGGCTACAGGGAGACCCTAAAAAAAAAAAAAAAAAAAAAAAAAAGACAAAAAAACACCACTACCACCACTTACAGAGGCAGGAGGGCAGCTTCTGAATGACCATTTCTAAATTTATTGTATTTGTTTGTTTGTTTTCTGGTTCTTCTGAGACAGGGTCTCCCTGTAGCCCCAGCTGGTCTGGAACTTACTATGTAGACCAGGCTAGCCTTGATCTCACAGAGATCTGCCTGTATCTGCCTCCAGAGTGTTGAGATTAAAGGTGTGCACCACCATGCTCAGCTCCAAATTTTATTTGAGTTTAACTATGTATCTTCATCTTTCTAATTCATACCATCTTTACACTCCTGATTTCTGCAAATACTACCTCCTTCCAATCACACTTCCAGAGAATATTCAAATCTCTTAAAACAAATTATATCACCTGACTTCTTTTCTTAAAACCATTTTATGGTGGTCTTTTGTATGTAGAAGAAAACCTAAACACTTTAACATGGTTTACAAGGTTCTGAATTATGTGATTGTAATCACCTTCTCAAATCACTCTTTTTTCCTCCTCCTCCTCTCCCCCGACCCCCAGTCGACTTAAAGTACTTACAGCCTCAGAGCCCTGCCACCTAGCTTTCCAGGATAACCCCTCCCTCCAAAAACCTATCACCCTTCTATTGCAAATGGCATTTATTTCTTGTTTTTAGTTTCTGAGACAGGGTCTCCCTGTAGCCCCAGCTGGCCTGGAACTCACTATGTAGACCAGGCTGGCCTCGCACTCACAGAGATCTGTCTGCCTCTGCTTCCTGAGTACTGGGATTAAAGGCATGTACCACTGTGGCACCAGTAAGTCTTTTAAAAGAATTGTCCTCACTGAGTAGCAACAAAGCTGGGACAGGAGCAACCTTTCTTTTTTACTTTATAGTCTATATCTTGTTTGAATAATAGCTTATGTAACAATTGTAGTAATTTTGAAAAACTTTATCCTGTGAAGTCTACATTTGGGAAAATTTATCAATCTTACCAAACTGTTTTATTCAGTAGATATTTACTGGGCCACTTACTCTAAGCCTAGCACTATAATGGGCACAGTGATGACTAAAACAAGATGTGGTTCTTTGTGCTTAAATAGAGATAGTGTAGTGGAGAAAAGACAGAAAATACCCAGAAAACGAGTAGGTGTATCATTAAATATTTATGAAAATGGTAAGGAAATATCAAACAGAATTTTGTCAAAGAGAATAGGGTAAAGGGGATAAATGTAAAGCCTACTTATCTGCCTTCCTAAAGGTCATTTCGACTGAAACTTGGAAGATAAGAGGGACTGGCACAGAAATGCCCAGTGCAAAGTGACCCATGCGAACTCTGTCTCCACAGGAGCAAAGGGTCAAATCTTGTTTTGGTCATCACTGTGCCCATTGCAGTGCTGGGCACAGAGTAAGTGGCCCAGTAAATATCTATTGAATAAAACTGTTTCCTCAGCTGGGGCTACAGAGATTCTTCAGAAAGAGAAAGAAAAATTCCAAATGTGGACTTCATTGGAGAAAGTTGTTCAAAATTACTTATTGTTACACAGATGGAAAAGAGCAGCTCTAGAAGAAACTGGAGAAAGCAGAGGTGTGCTCTTGAGAATCTGTGCCATGAGAAGCCACAGAAGGGTGCAAACAGAGCATAGGTGAAATCTAGGGACTTTTTGAGAACCCTTCTGCCTCTGCTTGGAAATGGGTTAAAATGGAGAAAGAGAAGCCTGATAGACTACATGAGTGCTTTCAATTCTTGATTAGTCAGAGACATGCAATAACTGGCAATCAGAATGTCTCATTAATAGGAGATAATAGGGTCATAATAGTGAGTTAAAAACAAATAGCATTTAATAATTTAATTAGCCTTGAAGCCCTGTTATATAAGTATACAAGTCTCCAATGTGCTCTGGAAAATAATAAAAATATTATCATGGTCATCCTTCCTTCACTATTGCCACTTGGGCTTTTGGGACTTAAGAGACCCAGATTTTAGATCACTGCTGTAAGAACTCTCAGGAAATAACTTTAAACTACACTATAAAAATGCCCTCCTGAGCCACCACAACTGACAACCTGAGTTCAGTCCCTAGGACCCACATGGTAGAAGGAGAGAACCACTCCTACAAGTTGTGCTTTGACTTCCAGTCTTGTATTGTAGCATGCATGTACCCACACACATGCAAGCACACACACAGTAAATGTAATAAAACCTTTTTTTTTGTTTTGGTTTTTTTTGAGATGGTCTTTGTAGCCCCAACTAGCCTGGAACTTATGTAGACCAGGCTGGCCTTGAACTCACAGAGATCTGCCTGCCTCTGCCTCCCAAGTGCTGGGATTAAGGCATGTGCTACCACACACGGCAAAACATATTTTTTTTTGTCTTTTTGAAGCAGGGTCTCCCTGTAGCCCCAGCTGTCCTGGAACTCACTATGTAGACCAGGCTGGCCTTGAACTCACAGAGATCCGCCTGCCTCTGCCTCCCAAGTGCTGGGACTATAGGCATGCGACACCACGCCCGACTGGCAAAACATTTTTAAATGTAAAAAAAATTTTTAAGTGCCTTCCTTACTCTTATCCCATCTTGTATCTAACCTTCAAAGTCGACATCAAAGGCTCGTTCTACCATTTCAGTGATAGCTTTCAAAGATTCACTTTTGGAAGGGATATAAACCAGTTGAAATCTACTTTTCAGAGGAAAATAATGGAAATATTCTGGCAATGAACTGATATCAATTGCCTGATAGACAGTAGAATGTCTTTTTTGTGGCACACTACTGAAACGAAGATACAATATAATTGCAGAAAACAGTAATGGCATCAAGATTTCGAGGAGTGTTACCAGAGTCTTCCACTTCTAAAATAAAAACAAAAGTTTTATGTTAATATAAAAAGAACTCAAGTGTAAATTGCTATGTGGCAATTTTTTTTTCTATTAAGAACCCTGAGGCTAGGGGTATAACTTAATCAGTAGAGTGCTTCCTAGTATGCATGAAGCACAATCCCCAGTACTGAATAAACCATGTGGTGGTTCATGCCTGCAATCTCAGCACACAGGAGGTGAAGGGAGGAAGATCAGCAGTTCAAAGTCATCTCTGCTACATAGGAGGTTTGAGGCCAGCTAGATACATGAGGCCCTGTCTCTAAAAAAAAAAGCCAGGCCACCTAGAGCTCCAAAATGAGACTCAGTTTAAAAAAAAAAAAAAATTAGGAAAAATACAATGAGCCCTAGCTAACACCATTCAGCACTTCCATAACAATAATGGCTAGAAATCAGTGACAGTGGTGTCATTTAACAATGAGAGTTAACATTATTGTGGAAACATTACTCATTTGTAGAAAAGGACCTCTTTACAAGTAAAGTTCTTTAGTTTTTCTTGAACTCATTATTAGTAGCTGTATTGTGAATACTGTACTGTATTCTCAACTTGACAAGATCTAGGATCACCTGAGAGACAGGCCTCTGGGCATGCTTGTGAGGGATCATTCTGATTGTGTTGATCAAGGTATGGGAAGACCTGCCCTGTGTGGGTAGCATCATTCCCTGGATGGCATCCTGGACTGTGTAAGTAGGGAAAGGAAACTGAACAGCCACACGGATTCGGAGCTTGTTGCTTTCCGACTGCGGATGTGATGGTGACTACCAGCTTCAAGCTCCTGTCACCCTGACTTCCTTACCATGATACATTGCACTCTTAAACTGTGAACCGTAGTAAACCTGTGTCCCTTAAGTTGCCTTTGTCAGGGTGTTTTATCACAGCAACAGGAAAAGAAACTCAATCAGTAACCAATTTAACTTAAACTGTCACTACCAGGGGCTTATATCTTTCCCAGATAAGCATACCCACCTTCAAGGTGAAATTCTTCCAAAGAAGAAGTTTTAACTTCTTGAACGCTGCCATTTTTCCCAAGCTGAAGAAGAGGCTCACCACTGGTCAGGAAACAAATTGAGGAGATAGTATTCATAATACAAAAATGTTAAGAACTATTCTTTCATCCTTGAACAGTTTTCTCCTGGTAGGCTTTCAGAACACTGTCAACTTTCTGGTTTTTCTACTGTCATTCTTTCTCAGTCTCTTAGGGTTGATTCTTCCTCTACTCTTCAACTTCTAAACACTAAGGTTTTACAATGTGCAGTCTGTCAGCTCCTTTCTTTTCCAACCACAGTCACTCTTCAAGTAACATCACTTAGCCTTGGTTTTGACTCCCATGTCCACAATGATGACATCTATACTGACATCACCAGCCTGGACTTTGCTTCAATCTCTTCCCAAACATCCAATTTCTTGATATCCACCCCACACTATGTTTCATCTCAAACTACCTGGCCTATTTATGGTCCACCTAAAACAGGTCATCGTATAGTCTTCCTTACCTCAGTTCATATCAGTTCCAGTCTTTGAGTTACAGAAGATTATTCTTGCCTTCTCTTTTGAAACATAAATTTAGATCATCACAAATCCTATTGGCCCTACCTTTGAAATACTCCTAGAATTTGACTTCTTTTCACCACCTCAATTCTTATTATCCCATGCCTGAATTTTTGCAGTAGGCTTTGCAGTACAATCATTATACCATCTTGCCACATTGCATTCTTTTATGCAATGATGAACACAACCAAGTTCAAGCAAGATCATACATACTTATCTGCCACAGAGAAGTAGGTTGGGCTGAAGAGAGCTCAGTGGTTAAGAGCACTGGCTGTTCTTGCAGAGGACCCAGGTTTGGTTCCCAGCACCCACATGGTGGCCAACAACTGCCTATAACTCTAGTTCCAGGGGACCCAATGCCCTCTTTTGGCCTTTACAGGCATTGCATGTATGAATGCACTTACATACATGCAGGCAAAACACTCATACACACAAAATAAAAATTAAAAAATCTGTAGGTTATGGTGTCTGTTAATGTTACCTCATCCCTGACATCTATTTTACTGCTATTACATCAGAAGTCTAGATGCTATTTTAAAACACAACACACTACTGCACCAAAACTTGGATTTCCTCTGACAAGTGCAAGTACACAATCCCCTTATGTGTTTACGTTACCAACTCTACTATTTCTTTCAGATATTTATTCAAAACTCATGTCCTTAATGAGGTTTATCTTGACTATCCTAAATAAAATTTCAGTCCCTCTAAACATTCCCTACCTATTTTCCAAGTTTATTTTTCTTCTTAGCATCTTTAAGCAATTTTAAATGTTCTTTATTTAGAGCTGGGGAGATGGCTCAAGAGATGGCTTAGTGGGTAAAATGCTTGATATACAAACATCAGGACTTGAGTTCAGATCCCACCACCCACATAAAAGCCAGGTATGCAGTGCATGCCTGTAACCCCAACACTGAATAGAGAAAGGCAGATCCTGGGACCAGGTAATTTAACTGAAACAATGAGATCTAGGTTCAGTGAGGTATCCTCCCTTAAGAAATATGGAGCACCAGGCATGGTGGCACACACTTTTAATCCCAACACTTGGGAGGCAGAGGCAGGTGGATCTCTGTGAGTTCAAGGCCCGCCCGGTCTACAAAGGGAGTTTCAGGTCAGCTGGAGCTGCTGAGCATGGTGGCACATACCTTTAATCCCTGCCCTCAGGAGGCAGAGGCAGGTCGATTTCTGTGAGATCAAGGCCAGCCTGGTCTATAAAGTTCTAGGCCATCTATGGCTACATAGTGAGACTCTGTCTCCAAATGAAAGGAGGGAGGAGGAAGTGAGGCCAGGCATAGTTACCCATACTTTGTAATTCCAGTACTCCACAGGCAAGAGTCTAAACAAGTCTTTACAGGTCTAAAGTCAGCCTGGACTACACAATGAGTTTCAGTTCAGTCTAAACTGCACAGTAAGACCCTGTCTCAAAATACATACATGAAATAAAATAAAGAAACGAATGCATTTTTTCGTGGTCGTTTTGAGACAGAGTCTCCCTGTAACCCCAGCTGGCCTAGAACTCTCTCTGAAGACCAGGCTGGCCTCGAATTCACAGAGATACATTTGCCTCTGCTTCCCAAGTGCTGAGATTAAAGGCATGTGCCACCAGAATGGCTAGAAATGAATGTATTTCTATTTACAGATTATATGATTTTATATGTAAGAAATCCAAAAATGGCCAGGCGTGGTGGTGCATGCTTTTAATCCAAGCACTTAGGAGGCAGAGGCAGGCAAATCTCTGTGAGTTTGAGGCCAGCCTGGTCTACATAGTGAGTTCCAGGCCAGCTGGGGCTACAGGAAGACCCTCTCTCAAAAAACAAAAACAAAAACAAAAAAAATACACACACAAACAAACTCAAGATCATGAGTTTGATGCCAGCCTTGTCTACATAGTGAGACCACATATAACCCTTCCTACCACCCAAAAATAGAAAATAAATTAGAAAAAAAAGAAGAGGAATAAAAGCTACTTCCCACCAAAACACACTCAATGGAAAATTTTCCAAGCATAGGAGAGACGTGCAATTGTCATGCCCAGTTTACATATCTAAAAAGAAAACATCTATAAGGCAAAATTATGCATTTATATAAATACATAGAAAATTTTTAATTTTTATAATTTATGTGTATGAGTGTTTTGTCTGCATGTATATAAGTATACCACGTAAATGCAGTTCTCATGGAGGTCAGAAGAGAGCATCAGATCCCCTGGAGCTTGAGTTACAGATGACTATTAGCCACCATGTGGGTACTGGTAACCCAAAAGGGGTCTTCTGTAAGAACATCGAGTGTTCTTAACTGCTGAGCTACTTCTCCAGTCCCAAATACAGAGAAAATGTTAAGAAGTATATTTACCAAACAAATGACTATGGAAAGGGGATAGTAGTTATAAAGGACTTTGGTATGATCTTTTAATTTTTCAACAAGAATATAATCATATGAGAATGTGTAAATTAAAAATGTGTAAATTAAAAGCCATGCAAATTATATTTTAAGCAAGATATTTGGTTTAAGCAAAGCTGTAATAAAGTACTACATATATATGTACTTTATTATAGCTTTGTATATATAGATATACATATATAGATATATACACATATATACATATATATTATATATATTATATATATATATATTTGGTCTTTTTGAGAGAGGGTCTCCCTGTAGTTCCAGCTGGCCTGGAACTACATAGATCAGGCTAGCCTTGAACTCACAGAGATCTGCCTGCTTCTGCCTCCCAAGCACTGGGATTAAAGGCATGCGCCACTACACCTGGCACTACTTGTATATTTAATAACACAACTCTGAACAATATATACTGATACTCAATGTACTTATGCCCATTCTTATGTGATTCTGTTTATATTATTTTCAAATTTTAACCTCCAGTTTTAACAATACATTGTTGGGGACTCTGAATTATATTAAATGGGTGTTTTATTCATTTCAAATTTCATCTGGTATAGAGTAAATAAACAAAAAATATGTAAACTGAATGGAGCACACCTGTTTCATGAGATTCTGAGGAACATCCTTCATCAATACTCCCACCCTCATCTTCCACCTAAGGGAAATTCTACATTACCCAGCTCTGTTCCTAGATTAGCTTCTAAAGAACTAGGATTAGATTTAGACAGGACTGAGGACTGAAGAGTTGCAAGCTCTAACAATATAAATTGGGAATGGCAAGTACTGTTTTGAAAGAAACACAAGGAAAAAGCAGGCTGAAGTGATGGTCCAGTGAGCCAGGCTCACACAATTTTCCGGCAGGAAGCAGGGAATGGGAAAGATCTCTTGGTTTGGGGAAGGTGGGCTACAGTCTTTGAGGAAGGATGGGGAGAAAGACTTTTGGAGATGTTTGCGGCAACTGAAATCTAATCCCCACCTAAACTTTAATTGTTCTTGCTTCCCACCCCCTCCCCCCGCATGCTCATTACAGACATACTACCATTTAATTGGCATTTTTCTGCCAGGCATTATGAAAACCATTTAACATAATTTTTTCCTCACTTTCACCCTCAACAACAACAAAAAAAGGATGGGAAGGATGGAAGGGGACCATTTCCATTTTCAGAATATTGAGATTCAGAGATGTAAAATGACATGAATACACTAGTGAAGGGGTCGAGCCAAGACCTGAAGACAAGTCTCTGTGACTCTTATTCAACACACTTTTGGCCAGAATTGTTCCTATACCAGATGTTTAGGATCTGGGGACCTGCCCATGCACCAGGCAAGGACTCTTTCCTCAGGAAGCCCAAGCTTTCTAGGTTACGATAACTCGACCTCAGAAAGCAAGAGGTGAACACAGTGAAACCGGCCGGGACTCAGTCACAACCTCGGGGTTACCTTAACGACAAGTCCAACCCGTCCTGCCTCCCTGCAGCGTATTTGGCCGGGCTTCTGCAGCCTGGACGCCGGGGAAGGGCAGCGGCCGAGGACGCTCAGGGACTCGCTGGACCGCCCGCGACGACTGTTGGCCGTGCGTTGCGGGCGCCCAAGCTCTGTCCAGCAACCACTCCTCCCCGGAATGCCGCGCGGCTGCAGCCACCTGCCTGAGAGGACCTGGATCCCTAGTGTCCTCCCGCCAGGGGACCCCGACTCTGTCCACTCCGTGTGGCTGCTGAGCTGGGTCGTGAGTCGCCCACGCCCTGGTGTAGTGCTCACTAGCCTCTGGCATCCCCTGTGGTTTCTGGACGGTTCCTCCACCTAACCTCACGTGGGCCAGGCTCCCTCCCACGCAGAAGGTGGCACCTTGCGTTAATGACAGGAGGGTTGAGGTGAAGGAAACATTGAGGGACTCGAAATAAAAAAAAAAAAAAAAAACGCCGTGCAAACGAACTCCCGGATGTTAAAACTACTGTGAAACGCCTACGTCCAGAGATTCTCGTCGGGCCCGGCCGGGGCTGTATTCCCTGGACCTCCCTGGCTCCCCGTCGCAACCCCAGCCTCACGCCCCCTGCCGGACAAGGACAAGGGCTGCGGCACCACTGGGGCGCGGGCGGGTGTACGAAGCGGAGCCTGTAGCCGCAGGGCGACCCATCACGCACGCACTTCTCTGGTCTTTTCGTACTAGGTGAAGTTGTTAATAGATAGAAACCGACCTGGATTACTCGGGTCTGAACTCAGATCACGTAGGACTTTAATCGTTGAACAAACGAACCATTAATAGCGGCTGCACCACGCACGCGCAATGTGTGGCGCGCCACCTGGTGGACGTGGGCTACGAGTGCGGGGTACTGCGCTGGCGCGGAGTCCTAATGTTGAAGTTGTAAGGGGCGCACGCGCGAGGTGCCTCCACCCCCACCAGCCCGCTTATCCGATCTGGGCGCCAGCGTGGGGCACAGCGCAGGCGCAGGACCCAAAGCACTGGAGAGGCTGGGGCGGCGGGGAGCGAACACCCGGTGCCCGCGGGGGGGGAGGGGGGGGCACGTTGCGCACGCGCAGCCTGGCGCATTCCCCCCGTAGGAGCAGGACCCTACCAGTGAGTTCGTCAGCCTGCGCTGGTCTCAGGCGCGTATTCCCGGCCGGGCGGCCTCCCAACTATAGCGGTCACCGCCGGCCGCCGCCACCCCTGCCAAGCTGGAGAGGAACCGAGGATTCTAGGGCCAGACTCCGGGAGAGAGCTGAGCCGGCCGCTGCACTCCAGCGCCGAGGGTGGTGAGTGGCGCCAGGACCTGTCACTCGCGCGCTAGCTCCGGCTCCTGGCTCCGAGGCTTCCTGTCCTTGTGGGCCAGAGTCTCCACTCTGCCAGCGGGCTGCGTCCCCCTCCTGAGGTCTCCGGGCCCCGCCTGCGCTCTGGGACCACCGGTGCCCGGACCCACCCGTTCGGGTTCCTGCAGGTGCTGCGTCCGCGGCGTCCTCAGGTCTGGGTGTGTCCCCATCACCGCCGGGCCGCTAGGTGCGCAGGAAGCGGCTCAGGCAGCGGGAGTCGTTGTGGGGTCCATTGTGCGGGTCCAGAAGGTGGACAGACACTGCCGCCGCCCTCGGGCGCTGCCTGCTGTACAGAGCTTGGCGTCTGCGTCCCCGGCTGCGGCGTAGTGGGCCCACCGGATGAGTGGGGTGCCCACCCGCATTGGAGTCCTTCCACCTCCATCCTCTTCATACCTGCGAGCCTCAGAATAGGGCTTCTGGGGTACCCTCGTAGAGGTCGAAGCTGCGACGCTCCCGGTATTCGGGACAGGACAGGGAGGGAATCGCCGGTGTAGGCTACGGTCCTGCAGCAACCGTTCCCAGGGTCGGGTGCCTTCCTATGAGTGCTCCAAACCGCAGCCAGTCCCTGAAGGTAGGGTGGCCTTCTGTGCCTGGGCCCAGAGTAGGTGTTCCTGTGAGCTGCATGCTTGAGAGCCCCTGACTTCTCTGCATGTGGCCCATCGGGAACTTGTTCCTCAGCGGGTATTTCTGTCTGCCCCTTTCCCTCGAGGCCTGGAAGCTTCATGAATCATGGAGCTTAGTGTTTGCGTATCTAGAGCACTCAGAAAGTCACTCACCTAGAATGAGTGAGGCTCTGTAACAATGTGGAGACCCAAGAAGGGTTTAAGGGGATGAGTTCCACTCATGTCTCCTAAGCAACCATATTTCATTCAGAAAGCTTTGGTGTTGTCTTTGGTAAACTTGAAAGACTGGAAGACTGAAACCATTTTAGGAAAATTTACCTCATGGGAAATGAGAGAGAAGGGGTAAAATTGGTAAAAATGGATGCCGTGGGAATCACCTCCACTCACATTGTTTTGAATTGAACCCTTGCGAATAGAGTAACATCTTTCTCTAACACCGTTCTGGCAGGATTGCCTTTTGGAGCATGACATGGTAGCTGGAGTTGTTTTTAACAAGCCTTCCATAGTACATTAACTAGATAGTTCTGTGGGAACTGTTTTGACTGTCTTAACTGTGAAGGCCCAAATCAGGCTTCCAAGTGCATGGTTTCTTCAGCCCTGTTTCCAGCAGTTGGCAGGAGGCTCCTTTGCTGTTGAGTGTGTCCAGAGCAGCAGTCTAGAACTCTGAGATATGCCCATCACTGTTCTAATAGGCAAGGCTCTAGGCATGATCTTGAGTCACTAGAGACGGTCCTTGGTTTGGGTGACCTTAGAATGGTACCAAAGAGATTATTTACTCTCAAGAAACCATGAACAGAAAGCAGGCTGACAATGGCTTAGTGGGTAAAGGTACTTGCCCATCAAGCCTGACTACCTGAGTTTGATCCCTGTGACCTACATGGTAAAAGGAGAGAACCAGCTCCTCCAAGTTGTTCTCTGACATCCACACTGGCACCATGACACACACAGCCCCCCATCACCACACAAATAATAATTTATTTATTAAAAAATTTAAGAATGGGACTGGAGAGATGGCTCAGCAATTAAGAGCACTGGCTGCTCTTGCAGAGGATCAGGGTTGGATTCCTAGCACCCACATGGCTGCTAACAACTGTCTGTAATTCCAGCTCTAGGAGATCCCATACCTTCTTCTGACCTCCATGGGCAGTGCACAACGTGGGTGCATTTACACACATGCAATACACTCATATACATAAAATAAAAAACAAATATTTAAAAAATAAAAAATTTGCCATACATGGTGGCACACGCCTTTAATCCCAGCACTTGGGAGGCAGAGGCAGGCAGAGCTCTGTGAGTTCAAGGCCAGCCTGGTCTACATAGTGAATTCCAGGCCACTTGAGGCTGCAAGGAGACCCTGTCTCAAAAACACAAAAATAAATAAATAAAAGTTTTTAGAAATAAAAAAAATTAAGAATGAAGTAAATGCCGAGCATGATGGCACATGCCTTTAATCCCAGCACTTGGGAAGAGGCAGGCAGATCTCTCTGAGTTCCAGGCCAGTCAGGGCTACATAGTGAGACCCTGTCTCAGAAAACATAAAAAAGTAAGTGCCACACAATACAACATAACCAGAATAGGTACCACAGGTGTCCAAAGGTAGAATATTTGACCCAGGCTGTGTTAGAATTGCCCAGAAAAATGCTTCTATGCCCATACCAGAGTTTACAGTCTTCATAGGTAGGCTTCATCAGTTTCTGTCTGAAAGCACCCCCAGTAGATTCTTTTGTACAACCAAGATGAAGTACTGTTATCAGAGACAGCATTACAGAGGGCCTAGCATAAGAAGTCAGCCAGGAAATGATAGGGTTTCAGTAGTTGGAGCAGTGTGTTGGGTGATATTCCAAGCAGACTGAAGTGCTGAAGGCCCATACTATGTGGGGAGAGAAAGCTGTGGGCCCATCCCTGTATCAGGGTCCATTCCACTTGAATGGCACAAGGTCTGGAGTCAACAGGCAGGAACTGTGTAATAAGCTCCTTGCTGCCTTGCTTGTTAGAGAAGATCCATGGTTACTTCTCTAGGGATAACTGTTGCCTCATTACCTCATTTCCTTCACCTAAGAAGGCAAGAAAGATAGCTGTCCAGGGAATGGCATTGAAACTCTTAACAGTGTGAAGAAAGCAAGCAGCAGTATAGATTTTTGTGGAACTCTCTTCCCAGAGCCCCCTTTGAGCCAAATCTTCAGCCTAAATACACCCTGCTAATCCCTACCAAGAGCTTCCTGTTTTAGGGTGACCACTGCCTCCAGCTCTGGACAGAGCAGGTAGTGTTGAATTTGCATCCCACCAACCTGTGTTTCTCTGCCTGGGCCTGCAGAACAAATCACTCAGCGTCAGACCTGGCTTCTTAGGGCTCTAAGGCAGAGGCTATTGCTTGCAGTTTTCAGCCTGCCTCATTTACATAAGAGCACTATGTAAACAAGTCATTCTCAGACTTTTTTCTTGTGTACTGCTATGTGGAAAAAAATTGAGTGTGTACATATATATTTGTCTAATTATAAATCAGTTATATACTACTGTGCTGACATGAAATACAGTTGAATATAGAACTTTTAAAGAGATCAGAGGCAAGGCAGCGTGATTAAATTTTCCAACACAGTAATGAAACAAAAATTATTGCATAAACATGCTTTGTAAAATGAAAGCTCTGAGATCAAGTTTATAACCTTGATGAAACCTAAGTCCTAGAATTTGAAAACCTGGTTCTAAGTCTGTTTATTTCAGAAACCAGTTCTTGTAGAATTTACAAATAAACATGACACACCTTATGTAGGCACAGAGACTATGCTTCTGGGTCAGAGTACTTGTTTTTCTGAGCTCATTCACCTGACATGCAAAGTTGACATGGGCTGGTCAGGGTGAAAGGGAAGGTGCAAATTCTGGTCTTCAGGGGGTTTTTTGGCATGCATGTTTGTATACATAGCATCCTTGGAAAGATAATAACATAATTATGAAAACATCTTGTGCTTATCAGCTTTTCATTGCTGTAACAAATACCTGAGGGTTATCAATTTAAAAAGAGAAAAGTCTTAAGTTGGCTCATGGTTTTTAGGTTTCTGGCGATGATCAATTGCCCATTGCTTTGAGACCTATCATAAGGCGGCACACCATGGTGAAGAACATGTAGCAGAAGAAAACTGCAGACCTCATAGCTGGATCCCAAAAGAGAGAAGGGAGAAATAGGCAGGATCCCAGCATCCTCAAAGATGTTCTAATGATGTACAATTCCCCACCAATTCAAGTTTCTACCTCCTGTCAATAGTGCTCAACCAGGAACCCAACCTTTAATACATGGACCTTTATGGGACCCTCAAGATTCAAACCATATCACTTCTATGCCAAACATCCATGTTCATAAGTGTTCTGTTCTTGGCATGGATTCTTTGAAAAGCTGTAACCTCATACCTTGCTACTTTTTCTTTGACGGGACAGGCTTGACTGCGGGTTTTGTTCTGTTGTGTGTATGTATGTGTAATCGTGTGTGTGTGTGTGTGTGTGTGCGTGTGTGCGTGCATGCGTGTGAAGGCCAGAGGTCAAAATTGGGTGTCTTGCTCTATTGCTCTCCACCTTATTTATTTATTTATTTATTTATTTATTTATTTATTTAGAGACAGACTCTCTCACTGAACCTGGGACTCACCAATTTGGTTGGCCAGCAAGATCCAAAGATCCTTCTGTCTCTGCCTCCCTCCTTGTATTGCCCCCCCTCCAACTCTGTGGTTACAGACACATGCTACTACACCCAGCTTTTTACATGGGTAATGGGCATCTGAAGTCAGGTCCTCCTTCTTGCACAGTGGACAGTTTACCCACTGACATCTCCTCTGCTAGAGTGTGTTTATTTATTTTTTTAAAAGCTAATTTTACACATTGTTGCAGTTAGTTGTTATTTAAATTTATTGAAAGGTCTCTAGGTTTGAAAATATCATGAAAGAAAATTCATACCTCCTTCTTAAATCTGTAGATCCTTAAATCATGAACTGTGTCACAATAAAAGTACTCATCTTCACTTCCCAGATAACTACAAAGTTCTGTAAAGGTTTGATTATTTAAGTCTATCATTAAACTTTTAAAAATTACATTTATTTATTTATTCATTTATTCATTTATTTATTCATTTATTTATTTTGTGTGTATGCACATGCCATGGCTCACATGTAGAGGTCAGAAGACGCTTGTGAGAGCTGATTCTCTCCTATCGTGTAGGTACTGGGGATGGAAGAGGTTGTCAGGCTTGGCAGAAAATGCCTTTACACATTGTGCCATGTTGCTGTCCCTAAGTCTCTTTTTTAAAATTAACCACATCCATTATATCTTTTTTTAAATGATATCTTGATGCATATAAACTTTTTGTCTCCAATGCTTAAGGAAACTCCTAAGTGAGGTCTTGCCATCACCCCTGTCAGTCTCTTTCTCCTCTGTCATGATGCCACAGCAAAGCATCAGAGTCCACCCATGTGTTAAATATTCATAAAACTTTTTTCTTATTCTTAGAGAATAAGAAAATTGCTTGCTATTTCACCACTGTCATATACTGTCTTATGCACCCCACTTGGAAACCACTAGTAGGGTTCACAGATGGGGGGCCATACTCTGAAAATGTGCCTCCTCTTCTCAGTTCTCCCCTTTTATTTTATTTTTGTCTTTTTGAGACAGGGTCTCCTTGTAGTCCGAGCTGACCTGAACTTACTATGTAGACCAGGCTGGCCTTGAACTCACAACAGTCTGCCTGCCTCTGCCTCCCAAGTGCTGGGACTAAAGATGTGCACCACCACGCCCGGCCTCCCCTTTTATTTTTATAATGTATTGATATTTGAACATTTCATCTGCAGAATCCATTGCATTTGACATTTTCAAATATTTACTAGTTACACCTCTCCCCCAGAAAAAAGATTACAAACTAGGTCAAAGATTGAAGGAAGCCACATGTGCTGCAGCAGCAGGAATGTGCTCCTTAACCCTTTCTTGGGGCAGCACCCCTTTTTTGGGTCTTGGTGATATAGAAATGGGTCTGCTTCCATCTCTGGCTCATTGTTTGCTGCTGCCAGCCCCATGTCCATGTTCAGCTTTCAGGGCAACATACTGTTCCCCATGCATGCCTTTTCACCCTTCCATGATCCTCTAGTGCCCACCTCCATGATGAGCTACTCAAGCCCAGGCACCTGGTTCACTGTCTTACTTGCTGTCGCACATACACAAATCCTGTTTACTCTGGAACTTTGTAATACAGTCTTAGCTTAATTTCCAGGAGTTACAACAGAGACAAGCATTTGCAGACCATAAGCTCTTGGGATTGAGACGATTATGTTCATTAATAAGTTCATTAATAGAGTTCGTTAATAATTAGCATCCTGGTTATGCCTATCACATTAAGCACTTGGCAAATATTTGTTGAATGAATAAATGCTTTGTTTCGTGTGTCCTAAAAAGCCACAGATACTGCTGGCAAACATTAAGTATGTTCAGTGTGTACACACACGGATGTTTGATCCTGGCTGACTATTGGGGATGCCCCAAGCTAGTAATAAATGCTTTCCTAAAAGCATCTCAAGCAGGGCAAGGTGGTTCCTCCTCCTGAAGGAAGGGTACTGAGTGTGACTAGCACACCCACTAGGATGCCTCTTTGTTACACACTTGTGATAATATGTGCAGAGCCATGGTTATTGGCTCTTTTGGGACAACCTCAGCAGGTCTGGCCATGGCTATATTGTTCCTTTCTGTTCGAAGCCTGTATAATCAGGCTTCCACGGAGCAAGATGCACCAGAGCTGGGGACATGACAAACATGTGGCACAAAGGGGTTCTTGTCTGCCACTGGGTCACAGTCCACTTCTACTCACTAGTTTTGAAGGCTCCTTAACGCCTTCTCCAGAAACACTGACATTTTTCTGCTCTGTACATGCAGACATCTATATCAGAGAAATTAGACAGGTGAAGCTCAGCATAGTGACCATGTAGTTAAGTGGTAGAGCCCTCCCTTGGTATGAACGAGGCCCTGGGTTCAACCCCTGGCATTGTTTGGGATTCTTCCAGCTTGCTGCTAATCAGAGGCATCCCAGTGCTCATGGACTGACAACCCATAGTCCCTAAGTCAACAGCAATTATGGGAAAAACCATTTTGACAGGACTCCTGTGTTCTGCCAACAGAGTTCTCAGAAATTAGCAGCCCATAGTATGCACTTGCTTTATGCCCATTTGATTGCTCACTAAAATACAAACATTGAAATAATCATTGCCTTGTGCAATGTTTGATATTTTAACTGTAAGCAAACAAGCCTTTTGTGTGTGAAGGGGACTGCCTTCTCTTCCTGACCATTTCCTCAGGAGGAGCAAAGTGAGCCCTCTTCAGTGGGAAGTTCTCAGAGTATTCTTGTTGGGAGGGGATGGTGGCTTTGAAAGTGGCCAGTCTAGTCTTTCATGTTTGCCTTAGAGTAGCTGGCAGTCACCTCCCCCGAGGTCACTTCTGGATTTCAGCCATTGCCACTTTTGGGTACTCTTCTGTGCCACTGCAGTGTTGAGTGTTTTAAGGAACTTTAACTTCCTTCCCTCGTGTACACTGGCTTTCGCAACCAGAAAGCTTTCCAGATTTTGTAATTCCAGGATCTCCTCCTTTAAATTCCTTTGCTCAAACAGAACAGGCATAAGTGCAAGTGGAGCCTTCAGATAAGGCCTCGCAAGTTCAAAGCAGCAAGTGGGATGTCAGGGGTGGGCGCAGGAGCAAATAAAAGTGCTAATGGGGTGGTGGGGCTGACTCGCTAATGTTACAGTTTAAGAGTAATATATAAAAATATTAGAAAGGTGTTCACTGTGTCTAGGATACCCAGGATGGAGGCATGCAGGGGCTAAAAGCTCAAATTTAGAGGCTAAGACAGGCTGAGAGTCAAGCCCTGGCTTGCAGTGTGATCTTGGCTGGTACTTCCTCTTGGTCTTCATCTGCCAGGGGTAATACTATTGGAGGCCAGAGCCACATTAGGAGCCATCAACATACAGTGCCAGGCAACATTCTGGACATGCATGCTCTTAAGTCTGTATCTCTCTGATAGCAGATCTGTTCTGTTTTAGTAGCATACTTTAGTTGTATGCTGCTGGGGAATTGAACCAGGCCCTTGTGCGTGCTATACAAGTGCTCTACCATTGAACTACATTCCCCAGCCCCTAAGGAACGTACTTACAGCCCATTTTTCTCTTTTATTTTCTAATTTAGTAAAAGGTGTTTTGTAATTGTTTTTCAAATTATGCTTAAGCACCCACCATTTACTCAAAGGTTCCAGAGAGTCATGCCTGTGAGCCCCAGGTCCCTCCTGATGTCCCTTGAAGCCTCAGCATTCCTGTTCCCCAGGGCCACCTTGCTGCTCTCCGGGGGTCTGCTGGCTCTACTGCAGTGTCCTCTGTTTTATACTGCTGCCACCAGGACACTTCACCTGTCGCCTTGAGGAAGACTTGCAGCCAAACTTGCCTGGACCCAGGTCAGTTTCTGGTGCTGCCTCCACAGCTTGAGTAGGTGGGTAAACTTTGTGTCCCTTGCAGCTCTGGGCCTGAAAGGGAATGGGAATAAGCATGAGGTGTTAACTTTCTTTGACAAATGGCCAGAAATAGAAACCATCTATTTCTTTGGCCAGAAGCATATGTTTTAGTTTTGGGTTTTGTTTTTTAAGACATGGGTCTCATGTAACCTAAGCTGGCCTTGAACTTACTGTGTAGCAGAGGATGACCTTGACTTTTTTTTTAATCTTCCTGCTTCTCCTGGGTCCTGAAATTACAGGAATGTAATCTCAGGTTTCTGCAGTGCTGAGGATTGAACCCAGAGCTTCATGCCTGCTAGACAAGTGCTCTACCGACTGACCTATATCTTGAGCACAGAACCTATTGTTAACTGTGACCTTTTTATACCCCTTTCTGGAGAAGGAAGAAAGTTCATCTCAGCCAGATCAGCTGCCAGTCTGGGCTGCTTTGTCTAAAGCCACCTAGTCCCTTTTATCAGCTAGCTGAACTGTATAAGGAAACCTTTCATAAATATAGATCTGGGCTGGTAGGATTACGCAGTGGGTATAGGCACCTGCCGCTAAACCTGATGACCTGAATGTGATTTCCAGAATCCACATGGTCAAAGGAGAGAACCAACCCCCTCAAGTTGTCCTCTGACCTCCACATAGGTGGATGCACAAATAGAAATATTATAAAAATTTAAAACATTTAAAAATAAAACATAGGCGTTAGTGTGTCACTAAATAACTGTTCCTTTATTAATCATCTGTAGTTGATTTCAAGGTCTTATTAGTGGTTTTAAATTGTACTTATTAATTTATTTTGTGTTGAGCATGGAACCCTACTCACGCAGATGCACTGCCACAGCAGCCCTTACAAATTAAAACTGTAAAAGAATTGAGGTAATTTATTAAGTTTTCACTTACTGACACTTTGTGCTGTGGATTTTTTCACATGTTAACCATGTGATTATTAAAAGTCATATTTTGGGCTGGAGAGATGGCTCAGCAGTTAAGAATACTGAGTGCTCTTGCAGAAGACCTGGGTTCGAATCCTACCACCTACATGGCACCTAGCAACTGTCCATTACTCCAGTTCCAGGAAATCCAATGGCATCTTCTGTGTTCTGTGGGTATTGCATGACAAGTGTGCACTTACATACATGCAAGCAATGCACACATACACATAAAATTTAAAAATATATATATATATTGGTAAAGACCAGACTCTCATCCTGTTTTGCTGAGTTCCAGGCGAGTAGTGAGTTTGGAGTTGCTGACTGAACCATTCCCAGAAGTCTACCTTTGAGACAGGGTCTCCCTGTATCCCCAGCTGTCCTGGAACTCACTATGTAGACTAGGCTGGCCTTGAACTCACACAGATCCACCTGCCTCTGCCTCCCAAGTGCTGGGATTAAAGGCGTGCACCACCACGCCCAGCCTAAAAGTCATATTTTATATCCTGGGCATAGTGGTTCATGCCTACAATCCCATCTCCCAATAGGTGAGGCAAGAGGATTGCTATAAATTTGAAGCCAGCCTGTGCTACATTGTAAGATTTTGTCTAAAGCAATTCTTATTTTAAATTCATTTGTGAAATTGCTTTACCTCCTTTAGTGCATAAATTTTGAGTGTCATTAATATCAACAACAATATGTATTTTTAAAAGGCAAGATTTGCCAAGTGTGGTGGCACACACCTTTAATTGCAGTACTCAGGAAGCAGAAGCAGGTGGATCTCTATAAGATGGAGGCCAGCCTGGTCTACATAGTAAGTTTCAGGGCAGTTGGATCTACAGGAAGACTGTCTCAAAAAAACAAAAAATTAAGGAAAGAGTAGATAAATAAGAATATATAAATAAGGTAATATTTTTAGTACTTAAAAAGTCTTTTAATTTAAAAATTTTTATTAGCCGGGCATGGTGGAGCACACCTTTGATCCGAGCACTTGGGAGGCAGAGGCAGGTGGATCTCTGTGAGTTCAAGGCCACTTTGGTCTACATAGTGAGTTCCAGGACAGCTAGGGCTACAGAGAGACCCTGTCTCAAAAAGACCAAATAAAATAAAATAAATTTATTGTATGCATGTGTCTGTGTGGTAAGTGTACATGTATCTAGGTGCCTGAGGAGGCCAAAAGTGTTAGATCCCCTGGATTTAGAGTTGTAGGTAGTTGTGAGCTGCCCAATGTGGGAGCTGGGACTAGAACTCTAGTCCTCAGTAAGAGTAGTATGCGCTCTTAATCACTGAGCCATATCTCCAACCTAAAAAGAGTTTTTACAGAATTTTTTTTTTGTCTTTTTGAGACAGGGTCTCCTTGTAGCCCCAGCTGTCTTAGAACTCACTATGTAGACCAGGCTGGCCTCGAACTCACAAAGATCCACCTGCCTGCCTCCCAAGTGCTGGGATTAAAGGTGTGCACCACCACACCCGGCGGAAATTATTTTTAGCTATAAAACTTTTTAAAAGGTCATTGGTCATTAAAAAGAATAGCCCTGTATCCCATGCACTCTAGTCTCTAGGTATTCACATTGGGTAGCATGTTAACTCGCATTCGTTAATGAGTGATTCATGAAATGTCTGTGTACCCTGTTTCGCCTTCACTTGACTGAGGGTTGGTGTTTGATTAGCATTAGCTGTGAATATAGAGCTGATTAACTAAACTGGAAACTCCTCCACTGTGAGTCATTGAGGCTTTTCTCCACTTGGAGAAGGCTGAGCTGGGAAAGTGCCCCTTTCTGCTTGCTTGCAGCTCTCAGCACTGGACGAGGACCAGGAGCTCCGTCGCTTCCTTTGCCTTCCCTCCTTTGTCAGGTCTGCACACCTAGACCTCCATGCCCCTAGCTTGCCAAATGGGGTCCTCCTGATCGTGGATGCTGCCAGCTTTATGTGTGCTCATTCAGACCACCTACTTCTCTAGCAGGTTAGCAGCTCAAGATCTCTGTTTTTATGTTTGAAATCCAGTAAAAATTTATCTAAATTGACAAATACTTTTTTTCTAAGTTTTGTCTTTTCTATCACTTATGTTCAATAACCTCTTGGCAGATTTTTTTCCACAGTTGCATATGCCAAATTTAAATGTTAAATTCATATGTAATATAGGATACTATTTTTTGACACATTTTCTTTGTACAAGCAGTAAAGATGAAAATGGCTAGTTTTATACTAGGCATGATGGCACATGCCTGTAATCTTAGCAGTCAGGAGGCTGAAACAGAGAATCACTATGAGGAAAGCAGCCTGGTACCTAGTGAGTTTGAGACCAGTCTGAACTACATCGCAAGACCTTGTCTCAATAGGGAGAGGAGGGAAGAAATGCCTAGTCTTGCACAGTGGAGATTCAGGTGCCAATATTTGTAATAACAATAGGAAAAATTGATCCTTAGATTCAAGGCAAGAGATGATGACTGGTCACTCCACTTACACAACTGCCTGATCCACTGGGCTCCTGGGTCAGCAAGGTCAATGAAGGCCCTATTCAAGGCCTCTCCTTTTCCTCCGCAAAGTCATCTCAAGCATTCGAAACTACCTGTAGCCAGGACACTAACTTGTTTTCTTTTTTAAAAAATTTATTTATTCACTGTGTGTGTGTGTGTGTGTGTGTGTGTGTGTGTGTGTACATCATGGCACATATGTGGAGATCAGAGGATAACTCGTGGAGTTGGTTCTCTCCTTCCACCTTTATGTGGGCCTCAGGGATCAAACTCAGGTTGGCAAGCTTCAAAGCAAGTGTTTTGCCTGCTGAGCCATCTTACCAGTCTTGAACTGAGTTTTCTTTTACTGGCTCTATATTGTTTTTAAGAATAAAGCCAGTTGGGGCTGGAGAAATGGCTCAGCAGTTAAGAACACTGGTTGCTCTTGCAGAAGACCCAGGTTCAAATCCCAGCACCCACATGGCAGCTAACAACTGTCTGTAACTCCAGTTCCAGGAGATCTGATGGCCTCTTCTGTCCTCCAAAGGCATTACACAACACGGGTGCACTTACCTACATGCAGGCAATGCACAAATACACATAAAATAAAAAAATAAAAATTAAAAAAAGATTAAAAAAAAAAGAATAAAACCAGTTGGGCCAGGTGTCGTATGCCTTTAATCTCAGCACCTGGGAGACAGAGGTAGATGGATCTCTGTGAGATCAAGACCAACCTAGTCTACATAGTGAGTTCCAGGCCAGGTGAGACTACAAGGAAACCCTGTCTCCAAAAAAGGGGAAAAAATAAAAAAAGAAAAGAATAAAATAAAGCCAGTGAAGGAGGGAAATTCTGTATGCCAGAATATTTTGCTAATAAGTAGAAAATGTATAGTAACTACAGAAAGCATCTCAATTGTATCGATCAAATGATTAATACCACTACAATAGTCAGAGAGCACATAAAAAAGCATGTTGCTGGTCAGTGAGATAACTCAGTGGGTAAAGGTGTTTGCCTGATGACCTGAGCTTGATCTCTGGAACCCACATAGTGGAAGGAGAGAACAGACTCCCACAAGTTGTCCTCTGACCTCCACGTGCACTGTGGCATTTGAGCATGCTCATATGTGTGAGTGTGCATGCATATACACAGAAAATAAATAAAATATTTTTTAATATTTTATTTATTATTTTTATTTTTTTATGTGTATGAGTGTGTTGCCTGCATGCTTGTGAGTGTACCCGTGTCATGCAATGCCACGGAAGTCAGAAGAGGGTTTCGTATTCCCCTGGAACTGGAGTTAAGGATAGTTCATAGCTGCCATGTGGGTGCTAAGAATGGACCCGGATCTGCTGCAAGAGCAATCAGTGCTCATAGCTGCTGAGTCATCTCTCCAGCCCCAATAAAATAAAATTTTTAAAAAGCATATTATGCTGGGCATGGTGGCGCACATCTTTAATCCCAGCACTCAGAAGGCAGAGGCAAGCGGATCTCTGTGAGTTCAAGGCTAGCCTGGTTTACATAGTGAGTTCCAGGCTAGCTGGGGATACAGGAAGACCCTGTATCAAAAAGACCCCCCCCAAAAAAAGCATATTGTTGAGGAATATAGCAGCTGTCCCAAAGTGCACACACTGTCTGGACACATAGAATGAAGTATTTGGGGCATCGGGATGACATGCTTTCCTCTCAGAGAATATTTGGGAATAAGGTAGCAGAAAGGAAGATGAGAAATACAGAGGAAGAAAGCTTGGAGCTCTTCTCCATATAACTACAGTCTGTGTTTTCATGGCAGTCTAGCTTTCCATCTTTGAGTCTTTGGTCCGTGACTGGTACTGGCACTGTGCCCACAAGAGGATGGCAGTGCTTCGTCAGCTGGCACTCCTGCTCTGGAAGAACTATACTCTGAAGGTAAGTCCAGGCCTGAGGAAGGGTAGCCATGGCACCCAGCTGATTCAGGGCCCAGGGAAAGATCTCAAGGATGGAGCACTGGGTCAATGTCAACAGGGTGGTCATTTCTCTTGTAGAAGCGGAAAGTTCTTGTGACAGTCTTGGAACTCTTTTTGCCCCTGCTGTTTTCTGGAATCCTGATTTGGCTTCGCTTAAAGATACAGTCAGAGAATGTGCCCAATGCCACTGTTTACCCAGACCAGTCCATCCAGGAACTGCCCTTGTTCTTCTCATTCCCTCCACCTGGGGACACCTGGGAGCTCGCCTACATCCCTTCCCACAGTGATTCCGCCAGGACCATCACAGAGACTGTGAGAAAGGCACTAGTGATCAACATGAGAGGTAAGACCCTAGGAGGCACCCAGGAGAACTGGCAGGGTTCTCATGGTTTGACTCCTTTGACAATATTGCCTCAGGCTGTGCATAGAATTCAGACCCCAAAACCCAGGAAGAGGTGAGTCTATACTCAGCAATTTATCTTGTTGGCTGTATCCCCTGATTAATCCCTTGTCTGCCTTGAGTCTGTGTCTTATTACAAAATGGAACTCAAGGTCCCAGAGCTGAGGGACCCAGTGAAGAAATGTTTGACAGTATTGGTCATACCAAAGTCACACCTGGTGATAACAGGGGCAGCTGGGTGGACTCAGCCCAGAAAATTGAGGTAGAGCACTGTTTGAGTGCAGAGCACAAACAACCTTCCCTGAGATGTGGTTTCAGAGGATAGCTCTAAATAAAGTCACTGGAGGCATGTAGAGGGAGCCACCCAGGAAATATTTGCTGGTCTGTTCTAGATCTTTGCATTCAAGATAAAACTATTGTTCCTTTTCCCTCTCCTGTTGACACATTCCTCCTGTAGCTTGCACCCACTAAATGATTACAGAGAAGTCAGAGAAGTCCTTCAGACAATCTAAACATGACTTGATGGTGGTGGAGAGAGAGAGAGAGAGAGAGAGAGAGAGAGAGAGAGAGAGAATGGCTACAACCCCCAGCCATGGTTTGTTACAGGTTTTTGTGTGACTTGGCCTTGCTGCCAGCCTGATACCCACCCTGATCCAAACTTCACAGGAAGACTAACCACTGCCCAGGGCTCAGCTCTGACTGAGCAGCTCTGCTCTCTGCAGCAGCCTGTCTTTGCCAGGACAAAAGCCACTTCTGTTTGGGGAGAAGGGCAGAGCCTCTGAGAGTCCTGTCAGATTGCTGTCTTTTATCTGAAATGGCCTAACATTCCCAGGCCTTAGAAGGGTGATTGGGCAACGTGTGGTTTGATGCTTTGTCCACAGTGCATGGCTTTTCCTCTGAGAAAGACTTTGAGGACTACATTCGACATGATAACCACTCCTCCAATGTGCTAGCAGCTGTGGTGTTCGAGCACACCTTCAACCACAGCAAGGACCGCCTGCCACTAGTGGTAAGACTATGACCCCCCTACACACACAGTATGCTGAGCCTCATAACCCACTCAGTCTGCAAACATGCTGCTTTTCCTTAACTTCCACCTGCCTGAGAATAAACATTAGATTATTCCTTGGGGCCAATATGATCACTCGCAGCCTGGTGATATTAAACTAACAGTTTTTGTTTTTTGTGGGGGTTTTTTGGTCTTTTTGAGACAAGGGTCTCCCTGTAGCCCCAGCTGTCCTGGAACTCACTATGTAGACCAGGCTGGCCTTGAACTCAGAGATCTGCCTGCCTCTGCCTCCCAAGTGCTGGGACTAAAGGCGTGCACCACCATGCCTGGCCTCAAAACAGTTTTTAAAAGCTACCACCTACCCATGGTCAGTCACTTCAGGACCCTTTCATTCTCTGGTTTTAGGAAAGGTTTCTGGACCTCACTAGAGAGTGCCAAATAGGATAAGAAGGAAACTCTTTCCTTTCCTGATGGTATTAAGACTGAGAAACTGGGGCTGGAGAGATGGCTCAACAGTTAAGAACACTAGTTGTTCTTGCAGAAGACCCAGGTTCGAATCCCAGCACCCACATGGCAGCTAACAACTGTCTATAACTCCAGTCCCAGGGGATCCTACAGCCTCTTCTGACCTCTGTGGGCATTGCACGACACAGGTGCACTTACCTACATGCAGGCAATACATGAATACACATAAAATAAAAATAATAAATAAGCCGGGTGTGGTGGGGCACGCCTTTAGTCCCAGCACTCAGGAGTCAGAGGCAGGCAGATCTCTGTGAGTTCAAGGCCAGCCTTGTCTACGTAGTGAGTTCCAGGACAGCTGAGTCTACAGGCAAACCCTGTCTCAGACAAAAAAATAATAAATAAATAAATAAATTTTTTTTAAAGCAAAGGCAGGAACCACTTTACGTTGCTCAGTACTTTTTCTTTGAGCATCGTATCTGGCACAGAGTAGCGCTCAGCACACAGTAACCATTATTACCAGTATGCTTAGTACTCTCTTTCTGACCTCCAAGGCATTGCACGACCCAGGTGCACTCACATACATGCAGGCAATACACTTGTACACATAAAAATAATAATAATAATAATAAAATAAAAAATAAATAGACTGAGAAACTGTACCAAGTGATGGTGGTGGCCTGCCACTGATTCTGCACATGTGGCCATTGGGGCTGGAGAGATGGCTCAATGGTTAAGAGCACTGACTGCTCTTCCAGAGGACCCGGGTTTGATTCCCAGGACCCACATGGCCGCTAGCAACCATCTATAACTCAAGTTCCAGGGGAATCTGTTTCTCTCTTCTGATCTCCATGGGCATTACACAATACAGGTGCATTTAAACACATGCAGGCAATATACTCATACACATAAATTTTTTTTGGTGTTTTTTTGAGACAGTCTCCCTGTAGCGCCAGCAAGCCTAGAACTCACTATGTAGACCAGGCTGGCCTTGAACTCACAGAGATCCACCTGCCTCTGCCTCCCAAATGCTGGGACTAAAGGAGGGCGCCACCATACCCGGCATAAAAAATTTTTTTAAAGAAAGGAAAATATGGTATTCATGTTGCTAGATGGCAAAAGAGGAGAGTGGCTCCTATGTGAACAGCTTTCACCACTGGGCAGAATGACTCTCTCTAATGTTCTGAGGAAACTGGTGATGTCAGGGTAGGGCATAGTGAGTTCTTTGTCACACCATCCTGGTGAGGAGAGGCCTGGGAACTAACCCTCATGGCACTTAGGCATTTACCCTTCAGTCTGAATCATTAAGAATGGTTGGTTTTCCCTTTTGTTTCTACAGGTGAAATACCACCTACGCTTCAGTTACACACGAAGAAATTACATGTGGACCCAAACAGGAAACATTTTTATAAAAGAGACTGAGGGCTGGCACACCAATTCTCTTTATCCACTTTTTCCAAGCCCAGGACCAAGGGAGCCTTCATCCCCTGATGGTGGGGAACCTGGTAAGAAGCACTTTTCGGGACCCCCCCCCAGGGTGCTAACTAGTGACAGTTGTAAGTACAAACTCACCTTGCATTTCTCTGTAGAATTTCTCTGTAGATGTTCTTTTTATGAACACTTGTTTTCTCAGTTGTAAAAGGAAAAAAACTTCCAGTAAAACAGGCTCCTAAAAGGCTAACCAAGCTTTAGAAAGAAGAGTGTCCCACCCCCTCTTCAGAAGACACATGCTCATCTTGAATGAAACATTTATCTCTTGGAGCTTTTTGGTTTTGCTTTTAACATTAACGTACAAGCTTTTATTTGAATATGGTTTTCAATTATCTTGGAATGGAGTTGCACATTCATCAGTAATTTTATGTTTGATTTATTGATAAGCACATTTCTTTCCATAGTGGCTGTGCATTTTAGATTCTCTCCAGTGAAATGTAAGAATTCCAATTTCTCAGTCTTTGCTTAATCTTATTTCTTCAACATTCTTTTATTACATTAATCTTACTGTGTTTAAGTAGTAACTTGTGGATTTATTTTGATCTTCTATCATAACTAATGATGTTGAGATTCTTTCATGCATTGTTGTCCTGTGGATTGTCTTTTGCCTTTAAAAAATATTTTGATTAGTTCTTTGAGAATTTCATATAAGATATTTTGATATTCATACTCCTTCCAGACCCACCTCTCTACCCGTTCAACTTTGGTGTCTCTTTTTTTTTTTTGTCTTTTTGAGACAGGGTTTCCCTGTAGCCCCCCAGCTGTCCTGGAGCTCACTATCTCACTATGTCAACCAGGCTGGCCTCAAACTCAAAGATCCACTTGCCTCTGGCTCCAAAGTGCAGGGATTAAAGGCATACGCCACCACACCTGGCTTGGTATCTCTCTTTTTTTAAGCCTATCAAGTCCAATCTGTATTACTCAAATACTCTTGGGTGTGGGGCCATCCCCTGGAGTTTGATTGGCCTATGAGGGGACACACCCTTAAAGAAAACTGACTCTCCCTCTCCCAGCAGCTATTAATTGTCAATATCTCCCCAGCTAGAGTGGGACTTCCTGCCCACCCACCCCATGTCCATGCTGGTTTTAGCTTGCACAGGTCCTCTGTATGCTGTCACAGCTGTTGTGAGTTCATGTGTGCAACTGTCCTGTTGTATCTAGAAAACACCATTTCGTTGTAGATATCCACTGCCTCTGGCTCTTGCTTTCTACCCCTTCTTTTTTTTTTAATTTTTTATTTATTATTTTTATTTTATGTGTATGAGTGTATTGCCTGCATGTATGTGAGTGTACCCATGTCCTACAATGCCATGGAGTTCAGAAGAGGGTTTCGGATTCCCCTGGAACTGGAGTTGACGGTTCGTAGCCACCATGTGAGTGCTGGGAATCAAACCCAGGTCCTCTGCAAGAGTAGTCAGTGCTCTTAACCTGAGCCATCTCTCCAGCTCCTTTGCCCCTTCTTTAGTGATGATCCCTGATCGTTGAATGGAGGGTTATGATCGAGATGGTCCATTTAGTGCTAAGCACTCCACAGTCTCTTTTTCATCTGCACATTGACCAGTTGTGGGTCTCTGTGTTAATTGCCATCTACTGCAAAAAGAAGCTTCTCTGATGAGTGTTGAGCAAAGTACTGGAGTCAAGGTTGCAGGCTGCAAGTTTCTGGGTGGGTTGGTTGGTCGGTTGGTTGGTTGGTTTTAAAGTAAGGTCTCAGCTGGGTGTGGTGGCGCACGCCTTTAATCCCAGCACTCTAGAGGCAGAGGCAGGTGAACCCTGTGAGTTCAAGGACAGCTGGGACTACAAGGAGACCCTGTCTCAAAAAGACCAAAATAAATAAATAAATAAAGTAGGGTCTCATTATACAGCCCTGGAACTCACTATGTAGACCAGGCTGGCCTCCAACTAACAGAGATCTGCCTGCTTCTGCCTCCTGAGTGCTGGGATTAAAGGCCTGCACCACTACATCCTGCATCTCTCAAGTTTAAAAAAAGCTCCTTTTGATTGACTTTTTTGAGCTTGATTTTATGCTTCTCCCCCCTTCTTGGCCTTGTCTGTGAACAGTTTTATCAGATGTTGAAAGTCTGCAGAGCTTTGATTTAACTCAGTAACTTACACAGAAGTTGATCTTGGCTATTCTAAGTGCCTGTCAGTGCATGCCGTGGTCTATGTCATAGCGCTTTCACTTGCAGGTAATATGTTTGTCTCCTCTGAAGCATGAGCACATCTTGAACCCAAGCTAGGGAGAGATAAGAAATGGCTAGAACCAGTTATCCAGGGTGAGACACAGCCCTCAGACCAAGACTGGCAGAAGTCCAGAAGTTTTGGAGAACACAGTCTTCCACAGGTCCCTCTATGGTACAAGACTAAGACTTGCCAGACAAGAAGGCAAAAGATAGGCAGTGTTTAGAAATGCCTGCCCCTGGTACCTGGGTCTATTAAGGCTAATGCTCTAGGAAAGGATTTTAAATCTGGAAAATAAACCAAGATGAGCAAGGATAGGTGTAGGTTTGGGGAGATTCTAGACGAGTTGGTAGACCTGCAACTCAGGAGAAGCCACAACCAGCTTTCATACCATGCCCACAGACTACAGCTGGACATGCTGGCCGCTGAGGCCCAAAGACTGGTGTGGAGCTCCTCAAGCCCACCTTGTTTGTTGGAAGCAAAAGAAAAATATCTCAGAGAAAAAGACTTACAGGTTTTAGTATGCATAACTCAAAATTTGCCCCCCAAAAAGGCCCTATCAATACAAGGTTAGGGAAAATATTTGTAGCAGATGACAAGGAAAATGCCATGTTGCAAATTTATGAAAGATTCCCCAAGTTGTTTAGAAAACCTACAGGGATATGTGGGAAGGTTACAAAGCAGGCACATGGCAGGTTAATTCTAGTCCCACTTTGGCTCCAGATGTCTATGCCTTAGACACACTAGTACCCTGATGAGAATATTGCCCCTGGAGTACTGTAAATGAACACGAAAACCCACATGCACGATGATGTTTGCCATAGTTTTATTTATGATCACAAACATTTCCACAGTGGGAAAGTGATTTATTACAGACTGATAGCTTCATGCCTGAGAATATCAAATAGCCACAAAGTTGTAATGATGAAAACCACTGAGCCGCATGGTAGTCTCCTGGGAGAACAATATGTAGGCAAGTAGCATGGCAGGTATTTGTGGGGAAGACAGTGAGATGTCATAAGAAAGCATTACTTGGAAGCCAAAGCTTCTGGGGCCCCATGCTAAGCTGAAACCTTCATCAGCTGTGTGGCTCCCTAGGCCTCAGTGTCCTTGTCTATCCAATGGGGATATTATTAGCTGCTGTGACGCATTCTTGTAAAGATGAGAGTTAAGGCCCTACCTAGCACTGTCCTTGGCACACACTAACATTAGTTGAGTACCTGCTTATATTGTGCCCATAAAAACCAGAGTGAGACAGAAGAGCACCAACACTTAGTTAACCCTGTGTTAGGGGTGTGGTTAACATTCTGCTTTTTTTCTTTTCTAAAAGCTGGAACCCAGGTAGCCAAATAATTTTGTGTGTCAGAACATTTGGTATTCCAACCATCCATGCCTATGGCTTATATACTCAGTCTGTCACTGAGGCTGAGGCCTTTGGGCTGCCTTTTGTCTCCTACTCCTAAGCCCACTCTTTCTTTGGACTCATTTATCTTAGGCTTTGTGTGCCTTAGGGATACAGTGCTTGTCTCTCCTACAGGCCCTTTTCCCTTTGAGATTTTTATTTAAGACCCCTCTGGGAAGTCCAGAAAAGCCAACTTAGATAGATCAAATCATGGTTCCTAAGTTGTCCCCATACTAGAACCTTTGACGATTTGAGGTAGAGGAGAATAAGTCTGCTAGTCTGCTGATGTTAAGGTAGCAAGTTTATTTGTTGGCTACCCCCCAGGACCCAACATAATTGCAAGATCCTTAGAAGATGATGAGGACAGCAGGAAAGAGAGTCAGAGAAAGAATAACTGAACTGACAGAAACAGAATCCCAAGGAACTACCTTGCTGGTCTTGAAGGTAGAGCAAGAGACCATAAGGCAAGAATGCAGGTGACCACCACAAACTGGGAGGAGCAGATCTTTTCTGACCCACAAAAGGGAACACATCCCAGTAAACACTAGTTCTTGATCAGTGAGGCCTATGTCAGATTCTCAACCACCAGAGCAGCCAGAGAACCAACTGCTGCTCTTTCAAGTTGTCTCATTGGCAAAAACCTGTTAGAGAACTCCAGGAAAGTCTATAAATGTCTTCTGACTCTACTTGGGCAAAGATCTTAGCTTCTGTCTGAACTCAGCCACCTTCTACCTAGAGTCAGAATTAGCACCAGGGCCATTAGCTTCTTCCTTTTGGCTCCCAGATTGCCCAGATGACACTCAGGATCTGACCCTCTTTTTTTGTTTGTTTGGTTTTTTGTTTGTTTGGTTTTTTTTCTGGTCTTTTTGAGACAGGGCCTCCCTGTAGCCCCAGCTGACTTGGAATTCACTATGCAGACCAGGCTGGCCTTGAACTCACAGAGATCCACCTGCCTCTGCAAGTGTTAGGACTAAAGGAGTATACCACCACACCTGCTTGGCTAGGACCTGGCCCTCTTAACAAAGGGAAGTGCTCTCCTATTCACACATTTTTGTTGTCCTTCTCATATCTTAACTCTTGGTATATTCTTTCCTGTTGTATTTTTAGCTGAAGTTTTATTTGTTTATAATCATAATACAGGGTCTCTCCAGCCAAGTTTATATCAGGTCATGTGGGTATGTGTCTGTGTATGGTATATGCATGTGTACACATGTGGGGTATGGGAGTTCAGAACCATGCATATGTGTAGGCCAGAGTAGGATATTGCGTGTCCTGCTCTATCACTCTCCATCTTATTCCCTTGGAGACAAAGTCTCTCACTGAACCTGAACCATTTTGGCTAGGGTGGCTGGCTGGCCATCAAATCCCCATGATCTCTCTGACTCCACCCCCTCCCAATGCTGGGACTGTAGGTATGCATAGTCACACTGGGCTTTTAGGCATATTCTGGGGATTCAAACTCAGGCCCTCATGCTTGCACAGCAAGTGTTCTTACCCACTGAGCCTTCTCTACAGCCCCTATTATCAGAATGGGCTTTTGGTTGGTTGGTTGGTTTTTGTTTTTTGAGGCAGGGTCTCCCTTTAGCTGACCTAGAACTCGATATGCAGACCAGGCTGGCTTTGATCTCATAAAGATTTACCTGCCTCTGCCTACTGAGTGCTGGGATTAAAGGCATGCATCACCACACCTGACCAGGGTATTTTTAAAATGTCGTGTTTGTGATTTGTGTGTATGTTGTGTTAATTATGATGCAGAAGTGACAGTAACATTGCTCCTCTCGTTTACTAGTAATATATGGCATGTTTTCTATTCTCCTTGGGATCACTTAATGGTGCCGGATACTAGCTGCAGTCCAGAGAATAGGATGTCAGATGAAGTCACCCAATGCCTCCTATGTGGACCCAGGGAGGCCCTGGCTATTCAGGACACATCACTCTCTAGCAAGCAGCACCATGACACAGCTGTTCTCTGTTCTGCACTCAGGGTACATCCATGAAGGCTTCCTGGCAGTGCAGCATGCTGTGGACAGAGCTATCATGTACTACCATGCTAACACCTCTGCACACCAGCTGTTCCAGAAGCTCATGGTGGTCACCAAAAGGTTCCCGTTCCCGCCATTCATCTCAGACCCTTTCCTCATTGCCATTCAATACCAGCTTCCTCTTCTGCTTATGCTGAGCTTCACCTACACCTCCCTCACCATAATCCGGGCTGTGGTGCTGGAAAAAGAGAAAAAATTGAAGGTAACCCCTGTGTGTGGCTTTGTGATATCTTAGCAAGTCAGTTTAGGAATGGTGCAGCCACAGTGCTGAGTCCTGGGACTCCTTGAAAGAATTGGCCTCATCTCAGGGCTGCTTCCATCAGCCAGGTTCCCTTTCTGTGTACTAGAACCATAAGAACTGTATTCTACCATGTGGACACCCATTGTGGCTCAAGTTCTTCTTTGCAATCAGGCTAGTGTGTGTGTATAGATTCTGATGATGGGCATGCCCTGTAGCTGTAGTCTCCGTAGAACACTTGAGGACCTAAGTTTTATTTTTTCTTTCAGTACTGGAGATGGAACTCAGGGCCTCATGAATGTAAGCACCCTCCCACTGAGCTATACCCCAGCAAGGAACTGTTTACTTTGTTTAATTTTTATTAGCTTAAATTGAAATGGCTATACATGACCACTGGCATTACAGCTTTAGATGCCTAGAACCCATGGGCCGCATTGGATAATGGAGAACCTGGGTTTTCTCAGGGCATATCCTGACAACTTGATGAGCAGGCAGAAAAGGAAGGTGTGGTCAGAGATACTGCCATCACTGTACCCTATTTTTTCAACAGAAACAGGAGTACTCTTCTCTTGAAGGGTTCTGGGCCCCTCCTTTCAAAATGGGAAGGCAGGAGCTAGAGAGATAGCTCAGTAGTTAAGAGCACTTGCTGCTCTAACAGAGGACCCAGGTTCAGTTTCCAGCACCTACATCAGGAAGCTCACAACTGCCTGTAACTCCAGTTTCAGAGGCTCTGAAAACCTCTTCTGGCCCCCACAGGCACCAGACATGCATGTGACACATATACATACATGCAGACACTCACACACATAAAATAAAAATAAATTTTTTTTTTTTAAGTCTTTTTGAGAGAAGGTCTCCCTGTAGCTCCAGCTGCCTGGAACTCACTCTGTAGACCAGGCTGGCCTCCAACTCACAGAGGATCCGCCTGCCTCTGCCTCCTGAGTGCTGGGATTAAAGGTGTGTGCCACCACGCCCGGCCATAAATCTTTTTCTTTTTTAATGGAAAGGCAAGTGAATAAAATGCCCATGTCTCTTAATGTATGTCTGTAGCCACAAGCTGATCAAGTCTCATGGCCCAAGAGGCTGCTGTCACTGTGGTCAGTAGCTTGAGGAGTCCTTCTGCCAGCCTTGGGAGAGGGGCCAGGCTGGGTAACTTTGGACCTTATTGCCAGCTGCCACACCCATGATTTTAGAAGAGCAACTCAAGTACCTTGAAAGATTGGGAAGCATACCATGAGTTTAGAATTGCTCTATAGCACACAGAGCACCCCTGAAGGACTCAGAGAATTCACAAGTTTAACATCTTTTAGATACCTGTGTAAGCCCCAGCTGAAGCATAAGCAGAGTAGGGTATTTCCTGGAATGACAGAGCTCAGTGGGCCCTGTCTCAGTGGAGAGGTGGACACTCTTAGCTCTCATGAAGCAGAGCCAGGCTGTGCTGAGTAGAGGGCTGGGGAGAGACCATCATGACTTGAGATGAAAGGGCAATTAATCCTAATGTGAGGGTCAGAGACAACCTTCCAAATAGGATAGCATGTAATACTGGTGAAAGGTAAGAAAGGGCTAAATTCTTACACCATAGGGCTAGGAGCTATTGGACAAAAGCTGATACAACAGTCAGACTAGTCTTCTCCTTCCACACCATGTGTGCTAGACAGTTCCTGCCTGTACACATCCACAACACAGGTATCCTGGGCTACCCTCCTGGTCCATAGATAACACCATATTTGTGCATGTAGTCTGGCACACTTGGAGCTTTGGGGAAAAGCCTCTAGCTTGCCGGGGTAATGGCCTAGCAGTGTGATGCCTTCTCTCCTTATAGGAGTACATGCACATGATGGGTCTCAGCGGCTGGCTGCACTGGAGCGCTTGGTTCCTCATGTTCTTCCTCTTCCTTCTCATAGTGGTCTCCTTCATGACTCTGCTGTTCTGTGTCAAAGTAAGTATGGTTTCTATAGGGGTTCTGACAAGAAGAGGTTGCAGAGACCCCAACACTCAGGCCAAAGAACATTCACAGCCACTGACCTTAGGGCAAGTCTTTCCCCTGGTAAAGAAGACAGCAGGCCTTCCCATTGACTGAGGCAAGGACCCCCTCCATCCAGCCATGTCCCTATAACCTGAATTGTTAGACCTCTCTAGTCCATCTCTACCTCCCCCAACCCAACACTGTGGCTCTGGGGTGGCCTGTCCTGCAGGTGAAGAAGGACATAGCTGTACTTTCGAGCAGCGACCCCTCCCTGGTGCTGGCCTTCCTGCTGTGTTTTGCAATCTCCTCTATCTCCTTCAGCTTCATGGTCAGCACCTTCTTCAGTAAAGGTGAGTCCTGGTTGCTACCCTTAGACCATAGGACTGTATAGTAATGCAAGTCTCAGGAAATTAAAGGAATTTATGCATGACTAAGGAGTCAAAGGGTATCTATTTTGATGACCCAGAGATTAAGTTGTTGAGAAGATGCCTGAGGAACAGACAGAAGAATTCAGCAAAGCCCATCAGAGAACCTCTTAGAATTCCTCCAGAAAGGAGCTGGAAAGAGAATAGAGGGAAAAGAACTCAAGTTGTGGGCCAAGGAAGAAAGGCAAGATGTTCAGGGTAAATAGGAACTGGCAGAAGGCAAGTGTACACACAGTTAACTGCTAAGAGTAGCAGAAAGAGAGGGCTCATCTGCCTACCTGTGATTTCTGGAACTTTTTTTTTTTTTTTTTTGGTCTTTTTGAGACAGGGTCTCCCTGTAGCCCCAGCTGTCCTGGAACTCACTATGTATACCAGGCTGGCCTTGAACTCACAGAGATCCGCCTGCCTCTGCCTCTGCCTCCTAAGTGCTGGGATCAAAGGCATGCACTACCACACCCAGCTTCTGGAACTTTTTTTATGTGTATGAATAAACATCCATGCAATTAAGCATACTCATATGTGCAGTGCCCACAGAGGCCAGAAGAGGGCATCGGATTCCCCCTGTAACTGGAGTTATAGGTGATTGTTAACTGCCATGTGGGTGCTGGGAACTGAACCCAGGTCCTCTAGAAGAGCAGCCAGTGCTCATAACCACTGAGCCATCTCTCTAGTCCCAATTGCTAATATATTTGAGGTTGATTCTGCTCTCTGAATTTTGTGTTCTGCTTATTGTCATTTTGTACTTGTTTTTCCCTTGTTACCTTCTGTTGGACAGAAAAAGTTTCTTCTGATGGTTTAGAAGATACAAATTGCATTTCTCCTAGTAATTACCCTTAGTATTGAACTTAAAGACTTTGAAATTTTTTCTAGTATGTCTAGGGTCAATCCACACTGCACTGTGAGTTCCCAAGCTTCTGTTGTATAGTTTCATTGTTTTAAAAAAACAAGCCAAAAAAAATATTTCTTAGTTGTTATTTTACATTCATGCTGTGGTCAGCATGTTTTGTGTGCAACATTTGTATGTGTGTACTATTCTAGGTGGGTAGAAGATCTGCACAAGGGTCTTGGCAACACCAGAAAAGACTACATCCCCATCCCTGCACTGGGATTCAGGTGGGGTGGGGCTCTATCTAATCACTCTGACTCTGGCAAGTCCCCTGGCCAGTTCTTAGCATACTCCATGCTCCTTCTCCCCATAGCCAACATAGCAGCGGCTGTGGGCGGCTTCCTGTACTTCTTCACCTACATCCCCTACTTTTTCGTGGCTCCTCGGTACAACTGGATGACACTGAGCCAGAAGCTCTTGTCCTGTCTCCTATCCAATGTTGCCATGGCAATGGGAGCCCAGCTCATAGGAAAATTTGAAGCCAAAGGTGAGTCTTGTCTTCATAAGCTGCTCTTACTAATTCTTGCAGCCTAGAGAGCATGTTGCCAGAAGGGTCCCCAACAGTTAGACTCACCTTAGGTGATTGGATGACGCCTGAGCCAGCACTTTATCAACAGACAGGCACTGAGTGTGTACAGAGTGCTGTCTTGGCCCTAGGTGATGGGGAAGTGATTCAGGGCAGGCCACGAGACCAATAGGAGCCATGGGAATTAGAGCCAAATACAACCAAAGATTAAAACACCCAGAGGCATTGGTCACCTTACCTGCTTCTGCCTGGTAACTGGATTTTACCAAGTGGCTTCTTAGTCTCTTCTTGCTTCTCTTTAAAGTTTTTATTATATTTATTTATTGTGTGTATTGAAGTACACATGTTGTGTGCATGTGCCACAACACATGTGTGGTAATCAGAGGACAACTGGAGGAAGCTGGTTCTCTCCTTCCTCAATGTGGGTTCCTTCTACTATTTGGGTATGAGGATAGAACTTAGGTTATCAGACTTAGTGATTTAACTAGCCCTCTTCCTGCTTCCTTGAGATGTCCAGAATTGTTGTACCAGAGACCTCAAAGCCAGTGGGTTTTGAGGTCTTTGGGTCAGCTCCCAGCTTCTAGTGGGATATAGGGTTTGTGAAATTTCCCCGCTTAAAACCTCATAAAATAGGCAGGCGTGGTGGCTCACGCCTGTAGTCCCAACACTTGGGAGGCAGAGGCAGGCAGATCTCTGTGAGTTCAAGACCAGCCTGGTCTACATAGTGAGTTCCAGGACAGCTGGGGCTACAGGAGACCCTGCTTCAAAAAGACCAAAAAAAAAATCATAAAATCCAAATAAAATGTGTTTAGACTGCCTTTGGCCTGTGCACCCCCACTTTGCAAAACTTATGGTAGATGCTCAGATTTCAGGGGATCCAATCAGTTCCTGTTAGGACAAGGCCCCATGTCCTTTCTGGATAGTTCTAGCACCTCTTACAGGAGCGCTCTGGAGAGTTGACCATGGGTTGGGACCTAGCCCCACTTCTCCCATTTGCAGGACAGGTGAAGATGTGAGTGGCCATGTCTGGCTTCTGTACTAGACACTTGACATCAACTCTCCCAGAGCTTTTCCATGTTGTTCTGGCCCTCCTAGAAGGAATGAAATGTGTTCTACCTCCTTAAGGACTGACTGGACTCATTTTAAATGGTCTTGGCTCACCCCTGCCTAGATGTTCTCTTAAGCCAAATGTTCTCATTTCTTCTAATCATGTATTTTTGTCCATTTCTGTTGGTACCACAAAATACCCCAGACTGGGTAATTTGTGAAGAACAGAAACTCGCTTCTCATGGTTCTAGATACTGGGAAATCTAAGATCAAAGGGCCATCAGGTATGGTTCCTGTAAGGGTGCAGTGACTGTTTCCAAGATGACACCTTGACTGTTCTTTCTCACATAACAGGAGAATAAAGGAATGTAAAAATCTCATTCCTATAGGACCTTTTGTGACAGTGTTGGTCCATTCTTGAGGTCCATCCCATATTCACTAAATTTCCAACCAATGAACTTAGTATCTCAAGCCATACCACTGAGCCAGGCATGTGGTACACACCAGCACATAGGAAGCTGAAGAAGGATTGCTATGAATTTAAGGCCTCTATGGACTACATAGTGAGTCCCATGCCAGATTGGACTTAGAGTAAAACCCTGTCTTTAAAAAAAAAAAAAAAAAAAACCACCATCCATCCTGGGTTTAATCCCTAGCACTGCATAAAACTAGACATGGTGGAACATTCCTGTAATCCCAGCAGCACCCAGAAGGTAGGGGCAGGAAGATCAAGAGTTCAAGGCAAAAGCCCTTGAATTGTGTTTCCAGTTTTAATAACCTATGGATAGAATATAGACTGTGGGGAGGGTTGTTTTGTTTTTTTTGTGGGGTTTTTGAGACAGGGTCTTCCTGTAGCCCCAGCTAGCCTGGAACTCACTATGTAGACCAGGCTGGCCTGGCACTCATAGAGATCCACCTGCCTCTGCCTCTAGAGTGCTGGGATTAAAGGCATATACCACCATGCCCAGCAGAATATAGACTTTGTTTTTTGGGTTTGGTTTTTTTTTTTTTGAATCAACAGTAGTTCAAAATCCTTATATTTTTGACCACATAACTTATGTTCCCACATAATAAAACAAGTAATAGTTTAAATCAACATCAACAGATAAACTCCATGAAATGAAAGTTTTTGCTATTTGATGAATCACAGTATGTTATGGTTAAATATATTCACTCTTTTTTTATATTCCTGGTATCCAGGATGAAAAAAATATCTTTAAATATACATCTCGTATAGGTAATAGCTTCTTTGCATATCACTCTTCAAAAAATACTTTATAGCAGTATATAAATAGGTTACCTACACATTTAATTTTATAATTTTGCCCCAAAACTATAGATCTGTTTCATTTTTATTTTTTTTAATTAATTTTTTTTTGGCTTTTTGAGACAGGGTCTCCCTATAGCCCCAGCTGTCCTGGAACTTGCTATGTAGACCAGGCTGGCCTTGAACTCAGAGATCTGCCTGCCTCTGCCTCCCAAGTGCTGAGATTAAAGGCGTGCACCACATGCCCGGCTTTATTTTTTTAATTTTTTGTTTATTATTTTTATTTTATGTATATGCATGTATTGCCTGCATGTAGGTGAGTACATCCATGTCATGCAATGCCCATGGAGGCCAGGAGATGCTGTTGGATCCCCTAGAACTGGAATTACAGACAGTTGTTAGCTGCCATGTGGGTGCTGGGATTTGAACCCGGGTCTTGTGCAATAACAACCAGTGTTCTTAACCGCTGAGCTATCTCTCCAGCCCTACCTATTAGTCTTGATGTGAGCCAGCTTGTTGTGAAGATACTTGCATCTGTATTTTTCTTCATGATAATTGAGACTAGACTGCTTGATCTTCTGATACTCTTGCAAGACTTCTTCATGAACATTCTGGTACTCTTTGAGCCTGGAGAAAGGCCATTGACAGGGGAGTTGTTCTCTATCTGTTCCAAGTATTGTGGTTTTTCTTAGAACAGGGTCCAGGGCTGGGTCAGTCCTATGGAGGTTTTATCCAAGATGGAGTCACTCAGGTCTCTCACTTACATATGGTCCACAGGGCTTGATAACTTTTGTGCTTCGATTGCCAGATTCCTCCTCTGCCTGGGTCATTCTTTCTCATACAGTATGTTGCACATACTGTAATTTTGTCTTGTATAAATCCCAGGCAATTGAGCTGGGAGGCTCCAGAGCTAGAGAATGTTTGCTGGATGCAGTCAAAGCTGCCCTGGGGTTATCTTTGCCCACATTGGACAAATAGAAGTTAAAGCTATGTACTTCATGGAAGGGATCATTTGGGGGAATTTTGACAAGCCCTTGGAGTCCTTGGAACTGAATTGAAGGTCTAAAAGGAATTAAATTCTTGTGGCTCTGGTACGTCTCCAGGGCCTGGATGGCTATCTGGTTGAGCATCACACAAAGATCCGCCTGCCTATGCCTCCCAAGTGCTGGGATTAAAGGCATGCACCACCACGCCCAGCAGAATGTAGACTTTGTAAAGAGCAGAAGTTCCATTGCCTCTAGTACCATTTCCAAAAAAAAAGACTAACTGGTATGACACCTTATTTTTGTTTTTGAAAGTTATATAGTGAACTTTCTTTTTCTTTTTTTGTTTTTGTTTTGTTAAGACAGGATCTCAGTATTTAGTTCTGAATGGCCTAGAACTCACTATGTAAACCAGGCTGGCCTCAAACTCACAGAGATGTGCCTGCCTCTGCTTCTGCCTCCCAAATGCTGAGATTAAAGGCATGTACCACCATACCTGGCTCCTTTTTCTTTTTGAAAAACATTGTATTTATGGGCCTGGAGAGATGGCTCAGTAGTTAAGAGTGCTGGTTGTTCTTGGAGAGGACCGGGGTTTGGTCCCAGCACCCACATAATAGCTAACAACCATTCATTACTCCAGTTTCAGGGAATCCAACATCGTCTTCTGACCTCCATGGGCATTGCACGAATGTGGTACACATAATTCATGCAGACAAAACACTCATACACATACAATAAAATTTGTTTTAAAAGTCCGTGCATGGTGGCACACGCCTTTAATCCCAGCACTCGGGAGGCAGAGGCAGGCAGATCTCTATGAGTTCAAGGCCAGCCTGGTCTACATAGTGAGTTCCAGGACAGCTGGGGTTACAGGGAGACCCTATCTCAAAAAGACCAAAAAAAATTGTTTTAAAGTTCTGTATTTATGTGTCTGCATTTGTGAATGTGTGCCAAATGTGTGTGGAGTGCTTTGAATCCAATAGAAGGCATTGGATCCCCCGGAGTTGGAGTTGGAGGTGCTTGTACGCCACCATGTTGGTGCTGGAAACCTAACTCAGGTCCTCTGCAAGAGCAACAAATGCTCTTAACCACTGAACCATCTCTCCAACCTGTGAATTTTTTTTTTTGAAACAGGGTCTCTCTGTAGCCCCAACTGACCTGGAACTCACTATGTAGACCAGGCTGGCCTTCAACTCACAGAGATCTACTTGCCTCTGCCTCTGTGAATTTTCTTAAACAAATCTCTAGCTTTTTAAGGGTAAATATTCACCAAAGCTAGAGAGCAGATATTTCCATCCAGGGCCCTCTCGCCAGCAGAGGGCTACTAGACACAGAGGTCCAGCTTGTATGGACTGTGACATTAACCTACTGTGAGCTTCATAGAGCTCCCTATGTATCTGAGGTCTCTCAGTTTCATTGGTTCACATTGGCCTCTCCCAAATCTCATGTTGCTACATCCTGTGTAGCTGGGTGGCAGTGGGTACAGAAGAAGGATGGCATGGTACAACAATACATGAGACACTTCAACATTAAAGAAAGCTGGGGACCAGGATACTCTGTTCTGCAGAACAAAGGCCCCAAGTCTCCAACCACAAAGTTATTAGCTTGGATAAGGTGCTCTAAGCAGATATTTGGGTAGGTAGATCAAAAGACATTTCTCTGCAGGGGCTCTGGAAACTATTTACTACAAAATGTGGCTTATTTACAGGGTTTAGAACAGATGTTCACAGAAAATTGTGAATAAGATATAGTGTCCTAAACTGGGTGTGGTGGTACACAGCTTTAATCCCAGCACTCAGGAGGCAGAGGCAGGAGATCTCTGTAAAACTGAGACCAGCCTGATCAAAATAGCAAGTTCCAGGCCAGCTGGGGCTACAGGGAGCCCTGTCTCAAAAAATTTTTTTAAAAAGGGACTGGAGAGATAACTCTGCAGTTAAGAGCACTGGCTGCTCTTACAGAGGACTTGGATTCAACTCCCAGCACAACCATCTGTAACTCCAGTTCCAGGGGAATCTGATGCCTTTTTCTGACCTCTGTAAGCATTGCACAACATGGGTACACTTACATGGAGACAATACACTCATTTATAAAATAGTGTCCTTATCCAATCTAAAAGTATAAGGGGTACTGTACTTCAGAACCTGGGTCTGCATACATGCCTATTTAGCTTTGCCATCATAAACATTCTTGACTTTGCATATATGCAAAGTATGCTTTTGGCCGAGTTCAAACAGGGCAATGGTCTCCAACATCATGTGTGTGTATATTTGTGTACATATGTATATATTTATCTATATGCATTTGTATGGGTGTGCATACATGTGTCCAATGAAATGCAAACCCATCTAGTCAATTCATGAGCTTATGATGGTTTCTGCAGCTTACTGATTTTGTAACTTGCTATTGTCCAGAAGCTTTGAAGAAAGTTAACTGGGGACTGGGATATAGTTTAGCAGTTACTGTTTACCTAGGGTTCAATCCCTCACAAAGAATAAACTGGGTGTGGGAGTACACACCTTTAATATTAGCTCATGGGGGGCGGAGACCAAAGGATTAAGAACTTCCAAGCTCAAAAAAAAAAAAAAAAAAAAAAACTTCAAGGTTTTGCCAGGTGTGGTAGCACACGCCTTTAATCCCAGCACTTGGGAGGCAGAGGCAGGTGCAGATCTCTGTTGTAAGTTCCAGGCCAGCTGGGGATACAGGGAGACCCTGTCTCAAAAACACCAAAACAAAAACAACAACAACAACAATAAAAAACCTTCAAGGTCATCCTTCATCCTTGCCTACATAGAGAGTTTAAGGCTAGCTTGAGATACATGAGACCCTCTTTGGGAGGAAAAAAAAAGACTTAAAAGTTATCAGATTTTTCACAAAGCCAAGAAAGAACCAGTCATACAGACTTTGCAGTGACAACACAGGCCAATTATGTACACAAGCATGAATACATGCACCATCTGGGGCTTCAGGGATCCTGGCCCCTCCAAGCCATCCCTAACAGTTTGGGGCTGTTTTCCTGGTATATGCTTCAGGCACAGGCATCCAGTGGCGAGACCTCCTGAATCCTGTCAATGTGGATGATGACTTCTGCTTTGGGCAAGTGCTGGGGATGCTGCTGCTGGACTCTGTGCTCTACAGCCTGGTGACCTGGTACGTGGAGGCTGTCTTCCCAGGCCAGTTTGGCGTGCCCCAGCCCTGGTACTTCTTCCTCATGGTGAGTGCTGAAGTCTCTGCTTTTCAAGCAGGCCACTTCTTTGGGGGATAAAGGTGTCCTCACCACTCACTTGAGGACCCCTCTGAGGCCCAACATATGATACCTGCATAGGCCTAGGATAGAGAACTCTGATCTGTTCATATGTGTCCTGAGATCTTTTGGGATTGGTTCAGATAGATGAAGACCTGCCCACCCCCACCCCAGGTCTGACATGAAGGAACACGCAGACCAATGTATATAGCCTCTGCTGCCCCTTCCCTCACTTCAAAAAAATCTTTTTTTAAAATATAATACCAAGGTTTAAACCCCGGGCCTTCCGTCCATAATGTTTGGTAAGCACTCTAATACTGAGCTATATCCCCAGCACAAAGACAGATATCTGACTGGGTTTTCTGCCTACAAAACACTGAAGGATTTGGTAAAATAAAAATTATCACACTGCTGAAATAGGTAGCACTTCCTCCTGCCAGGAAGGAGCACTGTCGGCATCTGATTGTACCTTTGAATTAGTTATTTTTCTTATTGCTGTGACAAAATACCTAACATAGCATTAAGGGGATACATTCCATTGTGGCAGACAGGCATGGCAGCAGGCACATGAGGCCTGGTCACAGTGCATCTGTAGTCAGGAAGCAGAGAGCATGAATGGGGCTGCTCAGCTCATTTCCTCCTTTTTATTCAGTCCGGTAACCCTGACATGAGATGGTACCACCCACATTTAGGGTAGGTTTTCCCACCTCAGTTAAACCTGATCTAGAAACTCTGTCACAGACATGCCCATAGGTTTGTCTCCTAGATGATTCTAGATGCTGTCAGTTTGACAGTACCAACCATCAGCTTCTTCAGGCTTGTCCTGTGCACTTATTACTTGACCCACATATCACTTGTCTCATGAAACTGGGCCATATTGTAAACAATATCTGAACCTTTTTTTAATCTAACAGTGTACCTTTGCTATCTTAAGTACATGTACCTGTCTGTAAGTAAAAGTTTTTCTAGACTTTCATCTACACGTCTTTTTTTTTAAACTTTGTAAAAATTTTTTATTAATTTTTTAAAATTTTATATGTATGCATGTATTGTCTGCATGTAGGTAAGTACACCCGTGTTGTGTAATGCCCAAAGAGGTCAGAAGGGACTGTCGGATCCCCTGGGACTGGAGTTATGGACAGTTGTTAGCTGCCCAGTGGATGCTGGGATTCGAACCCAGGTCTTCTGCAAGAACAACCAGTGTTCTTAACTGCTGAGCCATCTCTCCAGCCCTCATCTATACATCTTTATAAATTCTGTTTTGTTGATCTAGAAATATATTTCTATTTAAATATACAGCTTTTTAGGAGTCAGCTTCATTTGTAATGACTATACCATATCCTGCTGTGTGATTATACTACCACACACTAGCAATTCCCAACTGATAGGGATGCCTCTCTCTTCATTCTTTGATTCAGCAAAAATTTCATCAAATATAAGGTGACACCTTTTGTGAGAGGTAGACATTATTCTGTCTAAGGTCGTGAAGGAGAATGCCACCATTTATAATGTGAGATTCATTCTGACTTTACAGGCACTTTAAATATGAGAAATTTGTCCATTAACATCAATGGAATGTGGCTTCTTGGCACTGGAAACAGAGCTGTGGGTTAACAGGTCCTCACCCAGCAGCTCACCCTCCATGCATTCGTCCTCATTTGCCCCTGGTACACTCAGGGCAGAGTGTGTGAGGTCTGTAGTTCCCTTGCTTACTAAAAGCCTGTCATTTGGTGACCAGAGAGAATCAAGACGGTTCCTTTCTTTTTTGGCTCTGATATTGCTTTCAACTGGAATGTTCAATATTTCTTCATACTTTTGACAAATTCCATTTCTTCTCTGCTAAATCTGAGTTGACATTCACAACAAGCTGCTCTAAGGCACATTTGCCAGATTAGGGAAGCAAGGCTTAGAGCTTTCCCAGGAATTTGACTCAGGAGGTGTTCTGGAACTCAATCTAAGACAGTGTCCTTTCCTCAGTCATATGCCCTGGTGGGTTAAGGCTCAGGAAATGTTGCTGGGTGTATTTAGTGTGTCAATGATGGTTACTCAAGTTGACCACAAACAGAATGAACTGACAGGAGTGACTGTGGCACTTGTCTACCTACATCACAGCCCTCCTACTGGTGTGGGAACCCAAGGACTGTCCTAGGAAAAGAGGAAGAAGATAGTGACCCAGAAAAAGCACTCAGAGCTGAGTACTTTGAAGCTGAGCCAGAGGACCTGGTGGCTGGGATCAAGATCAAGCATCTGTCCAAGGTGAGACCTCGAAGGCAGGCAGGTAAGCAGCTGGTACTTTCTCTAGGCTTGCTCTCCCCCAGTCTTCTGAGCACCTGATAAAGGAGAATAGGGACCGCTCAGCTTCTTTTGACTCATTCTCCAGGACAAAGACCATCCCTACACATCTGGCCCTATGCTGGCATTGTGATAGTGTGACCATGTAGTCCTGGATGCACCTCTCACTAGGTTCTTGGTACATGTTATGCTTGGGCACATCATATGCCTGGGTCTCCTGGGCCTTCTAATCACACAGTGATGACAAGGAGATTGTGGGACATATAAGGCCTGACAGATGGACGTAGCCTCTGCCCATTCTTCAGTCCTTTGTGTGCTGATTCGTGGTGCAGATTTGGTATCCTGAGATGCTAGGGTCATATTCCAAAGGGAAAGGGAGGCCCTGAGGGCCACAGGAAGTCTATTACATCCCTCTGCCTTGCCTACAGGTATTCCGAGTAAGAAATAAGGACAAAATGGGCATCAGAGACCTGAACTTGAACTTGTACGAGGGACAGATCACAGTCCTGCTGGGCCACAATGGAGCTGGGAAGACCACTACTCTCTCCATGCTCACAGGTAAGGGGCATCTCCATGTCCACCTATAGTTGACAGGCCCTCCTCTCCAGCTGCTTCATACCAGCCATGGATTTGTTCTCGCATGTGACTTCAGTCCTTCCCCAGTTATGAGGACTGAGATGTTTTTATATCCAGTGGAGTTTCAGCCCATGGCCCAAGGAGACTGCGTGAGGAGCCTTTGAGTGGCTCCCTCCTCTCAGCCTCTGTCCTTGAATGCTGAAACCTGGTAGGATCAACAAAAACAAACTAAACTAATTCTCCAGCCACAGAGGAATGGGTCAACCCCCATATTTGTTTGGCTTCAAACCCACTCTAGAGAGCTGTCTTATGCTAAGGATGTGACTTGGTGGTGGTTTGCTTGCCTGGCATATATTGGGTCCTAGGTTCAGTCCCCAGTACCTATGGGAGGGAAAGAGAAAAGAGGGAAAGGAGGGGAGCTTTCCTTCCTAGTGTGTGTCACACCTTTGAGGCTGTTCCTTGTCTTCCTGAAACATTAATAAGACATCAGTCAGTAGCACATACCCAGGTGTTGAAAGTGAGGCTTATGGCCATGATGGATTTATTACCTACATACTTATGTGTATGGGAGGGGCAGTATGTCTTATAAAAGGCAGGGTCCCACCCTTACCGTCTCCTACTGCTCTGCTGGATTGCTGGATAGAGCCTACCATAGCAGATTACAGGGGTCCTGGTAACTCTTTATGGATAGACTCTTCCATAAAATAAGGGGAACTGATTGAATGAGGAAAGGAGGTTATTATTACACCTTGTACAAGTTAACAAGATTTTCACGATTAATTTGAGGATCTCTCATTTGGTTGCAGGTCTTTTTCCTCCTACCAGTGGGCATGCATATATTCATGGGTATGAAATTTCCCAAGACATGATTCAAATTCGGAAGAACTTGGGCCTGTGCCCCCAGCATGATGTCCTATTTGACAACCTGACAGTTGCAGAACATCTTTACTTCTATGCTCAGGTAAGTCCACAGATGACAGAGCCCTGTAGGTGATAACTATCCATTGCTATGTACCTGGATTTCTGAAGCTGCTTTAGTGTGTCATTAGCCTCCCAGTAAAATCTGTTCTGAGGAGCTATTCCACAAAAGCCAGAGTAAGAATAGAGGGTAAACAGAGTCCAGTGATGTCAGGGAAAGCTATCTCTTGGGCTAGGGAGCTTGTTGGGTAGCTCCGCTCCTATCAACACAACCTGCCTCAAGTGATCTCATCCCCTACCTTTCAGTTAAAAGGCCTGTCTCTCCAGAAGTGCCCTGAAGAAGTCAAGCAGATGCTGCACATCCTCAGTCTGGAGGACAAGCGGGATTCACGGTCCAAGTTCCTGAGTGGGGGGATGAAGCGCAAGCTGTCCATCGGCATTGCCCTCATAGCTGGTTCCAAGGTGCAATTCGGGGACGGGGGGATTCTGACCTCTTGACACAGCCAGGTCAGGCTCCTACACACTGGATAAACAGAGGGGTGGTAAGGCCAGCTTATCAAACCCCCAACTGAGCTGCACAGGGTGGCACAGCAAAGCCAGCCTGGGCCTGGGATACAGCTCTGCCATCACAAGGCTATACCTCACCCTTCCAGGTACTGATGCTGGATGAGCCCACCTCAGGCATGGATGCCATGTCTAGAAGGGCCATCTGGGATCTTCTTCAGCAACAGAAGAGTGACCGCACCATCCTGCTGACCACCCACTTCATGGATGAAGCTGACCTGCTGGGGGACCGCATTGCCATCATGGCCAAGGGGGAGCTACAGTGCTGTGGGTCATCACTGTTCCTCAAGAAGAAATATGGTGAGCATTAGGCAGTAGGAGCCCAGGGCAACCTCCACCCTGTGACAGGGTCAGTGCCACTACCTGTTGTGCTGAGAGGAACTGCCCACTGTTAGCCTGTGTGAAGGGTCCTGGCATGGGTTGGGCAAGGCCTTCTCCAGACTTACTGTTCTCTTGCCCCACTCAGAGGAACCATGTTGGAATGGTGAAGTAGAGTAGGGTAGAATGTCTTGAGTGGTTGGGCTCTGATTAAGCTACAACCAGGACCCTTGGAGCAGGCAGGAGTCCCTTAGGGTGGACAGGAGTTCCTTGGAATGGCCACCATGCTTGCCAACATTGTAGCCCCCACTAAGAGCATTATTCACTGCATAGTCCAGGACCCAGCCCCTTTGCTTTGTGGAGTGACTGGCTTCCTATTGTCATTTCCTGGTCTAACAGTATATGCATCCCACTCTTACCCAAGAGTATTCCTCCCCAAAGAACACCCATGGTTCACACCTTACCTCTACTATACCAAGCACATACTCCAGTATAGCCAGAGTAGGCTAGAGAGGGTGCCCTCATCCTTGGTGGCCATGTGCATAATTAAGATCCTGGGTTCTCTTTCCAAGAAAGGGAGTCTTGTGATCATTTCTGCTAGAGCCTTGTGAGTTTTGCTTGCTACTCCCTGCCTGGCTGCTCAGTTAGCCAAGCTATTGATCATCCTGGGCCCAACATCCTTGTCACTGAAGGGAACAAAGGAGGACCATTTCCTACAAAGCAAGAATCCGGATAGAGCTCAGAGTGTAATATAGTACTGTGGGTCCTGTCTCTTCCTGTGAGCCTTGCAGTAATGATCAGCATGAATCCTATAATACAGACACCCTCAAAGGCTCAAATTGTTGCTGGTGGTTTTATCCTCAAGAAGGCTCTGGCTTCCAGCAGGTATACCTGACTACATTCACTGACCCAGCTTCTTCAGCACCTCTATCCAGTTGGGATATGGGAGGTAACACACTAGCACAGGATAGAGGAGCCCTGAGATGCATCTGTTTTGGCCCCACTGCACCTAGCTCTCCAGCCTCTTTCCCATGAGCCTGCCTCATGTGAGCCACAGAGGTGTGGAAAGACAGGAGAAGTGGGACAGCCAAAAGACCTCATACTTGGTCCACACATTCCAGGAGCTGGCTATCACATGACACTGGTAAAGGAGCCACACTGCAATCCTGAAGGCATCTCCCAGCTGGTACACCACCATGTCCCCAATGCCACACTGGAGAGCCATGCTGGGGCCGAGCTGTCCTTTATTCTTCCCAAGGAGAGCACACACAGGTATGTGCCCTGGAGACAGATCCAGGATGGGGTCCCACAGTCATGAGAGCTCCATGCCCTCTCTGGTTTGACTAAAGGGCATCTATCATCTCTTGGAAAGGTATAGTCAGGTCCTGGGACATCTGCTGGACTGGATGCAGGGAGAGGTATAACTTGTATCAACATCAAACAGATTGAAAGAGCACTCACTGCCTGCCTGCCATTCATATCCACATAGGACTTCCTCCTAACACCAGGTTGAACATATACAACAATCACCAGACCAAGGTATGGTGGTGCATACCTACGATCCCAGAACTTGGGAAGTAGAGACAGGAGGGTCAGTTCAAGGTCATCCTCATCTGCATAGTGAGTTCAAGGCCAGGCTAGGCTACACGAGACCTCTCTCAACCCCCTCTAAAAAAATGAACACAAGTAGCTGCACACTCAGAATTATTTGTGGAGCTAATTTGCAATTTGCAGACAGACTATGTATCCTGGAACTCACTGTGTAGACCAGGCAGGCCTTGGACCCACAGAGATCCGCCTGCCTCTGCCTCTCAAGTGCTGGGACTACAGGCATGTGCTACCAAGCCTGGTGAGTTTATATCTTTTTAAAAAATTTGTCCGGGGAGGGTGATGAGATAGCTGAGTGAGTAAAGGCATTTGCTGCCAAGCCTAATGACCTAAGTTCAATTCTTGGAACCAACATGATAGGAGAGAACCAACTTCCACAAGTTTTCTTCTTTCACACACATTCCATTGCACACACATACATAATCACACACAAAAAAATAAATAAATAAATAAATAAATAAATAAATAAATGTAAAAAAAATTTTTAAACTTATTTGTATGTGTGTGTCTATATGTATGTGGTTATGTCCTGTGGAGGCCAGAGGCATAAGATCCCCCTAGGGCTGGGCTTCACTTCCCATTATCAGGATAGAAGAGTGAAGAGTATGTGTCCCCCCACCCTTTTTTTCTTATGATTGAACTTTCTAAGATTTTTTGTTGAAGCTGGGTGTGGTGGCACATGCCTTTAATCCCAGCACTCGGGAGGCAGAGGTAGGAGGATCTCTGTGAGTTCGAGGCTAGCCTGGTCTCCATAATGAATCCAGGCCAGCTATGGCTACAGGGAGATCCTGTCTCAAAAAAAACAAAAAAAAAATTTTTTTTTTTGTTGAATACAGGTTGATAAAGCACATTGCAACTTAGCCTTTCTCCACTCTGCCACCAGAGGGTATAATGGTTCCATGCCTGTTGGCTTCAACTGGGTATCATCTTTGGCTCAGTTATGGCCACTTTTAGATATTCATATCTAGCTGGGGGGCTTTTGGGGGACAGTATTTTCTTTTTTCTTTTTTTTTTGTTTTTTTTTTTGTTGTTTTTTTTGAGACAGGATCTCCCTGTAGCCTCAGCTGGCCTGAAACTCACTATGTAGACCAAGCTATCCCTGATCTCAAAGAGCTACATCTGCCTCTGCCTCCCAAATACTGGGATTAAAAAATATTTTGTTACTTTTATTTTATGTGTATGAGTATATTGCCTGAATGAATCTAGGTTGCACCTATGTTGTGCAGTGCCCTCGGAGGTCAGAAGGCATCGGATCCCCTGGAACTGGAGTTATAGACAGTTGTTAGCTGCCATGTAGGTGCTGGGAACCAAACTCAGGTCCTCTGCCAGAGCAGTCAGTGCTCTTAACCTCTGAGCCATCTCTGCCGCTCCAAGCACTGGGATTGAAGGCATGTGCCACCATAAATTTTTGTTTTCATTTTTGAGATGGAGTATTCTGTAGTCCATACTGGTGCCTCAAACTGGTTATGTAGTCTAGAATTGACTTTGAACTTCAGATCCTACTGCCTCTACGTAGCTCCCAAATGCTGATTACAGATGTGTGCCACCATGACCAGTGTATGCATGTTGGGAATTGAACCCAGGATTCCATATATACAAGGCAGGCACTTTGCCTACTGAGTTATATTCCCAGTTCCATCATATCAACCATTTTGTTGCAACTTTTATCAGGTTTGTTATATATATGTTTTATTTGAGAGGGAGGTCATTGAATTTTATATTTTCATATTTCATGTATCACATCTTTCCTGTTGTGACTTCTTTTGTTATTTTATTAAAAGTGTCTCACTGCCCTACAACCAAATTAATTATCATCAGTTTGGGGGCTTTTTGGTGTGTTTTATTTTTTAGTTTGTTTTATGATTCCATTCTGTTCCCAGAGCTCAAGTCCAAATGCTCACAGAAAGAAACAGGGATAGAATGATGGAAGAAATCTCTATCCCTTCCTTTTAATTTTTCCGTGAACCTAAAACTTCTCTAAGAAAAATAAAAACTTAGGCTGGGGATTTAGCTTTGTAGCTGGGGATACATGTAGCAGAATGACTCCTGATTTTTACCTCCCAAGTACTGGGATTACAGGTGTATACCACCACACTTGGTTTATGTGGTGCTGAGGACTGAACCCAGGTGCATGCTAGGCCAGCACTCTACCAACTCAGCTACATCCCTAGCCCCAAATAAAATAAGATTTGGGGCAGGGGACAGGGCATGCCTTTAATCCTGGCACTCAGGAGCCAGAGGCAGGTGAATTTCTTTGAGATTAAGGCCAGCCTGGTCTACAGAGCAAGTTCAAGAACAGCCAGGGCTACATAGTGAGACCTTGTCTTTTAAATTTTTTAAATTAATTAATTGATTAAAATAAAATGAGATTTTTTAAGAAGAACAGCAAATTATATGACCCTAAGGTAGTTTGTTTTGTTTTGTTTGGGTTGAGGTTTGAGACAGGGTCTCAGTGAAGTTCAGATTTGCCTCAAACTTACTATGTGGCTGAGGCTGACCTTGAAATCCTGATCCTCCTGCCTTCACCTCCCAAATGCTGAGACTACAGACATTCACCACATGCCCAGCTGTTGTTTCAGTGGCACCTTAACTGAGTGCTACATGAATGCATGTAATCCAGCACTAAGGAGGGTGAGTAGCTGAATCAGGAATTTGAGACCAGTATGGTCTACATAGCAAGACCCTGTCTGTAAAACCAAGGACTGGAGTTGTAGATCAAGAGTAGAATGCTTACCTAGAGTGTGCAAGGCCCTGAGTTCAATCCCTAGTTCCACTAAAAAGAAAAACTGATGTTTCAGTCTTGTAGCTTATTGGTAAAACACTTGAATAGCATGGGCAAGACCTTGGGTCTGATCACCAACCTTGCAAACATTTTTTAAATTAATTTTTATGTATTATTTTAATTTTATTTTTATGAATATATTGCCTGCATGTATGTAAGTGGACCTATCTTGTGCAATGCTCATGGAGGTCAGAAAAGGGGATTGGCTTCCTCTAGAACTGGAGTTTACAGATGGTTGGTAGACACCATGTGGGTGCTGGGAACCGAACCTAGGTCCTCCACAAGAGCAGCCACTGCTCTTAACCACCGAGCCATCTCTCCGGCCCCAGAATTTTTTTAAAAAAGAAAAAATGATGTTGGCATATGGTGGCCTTTAATCCCAGCACTTGGGAGGCAGAGGCAGATGGCTCTCTATGAGTTCATGGCCAGCCTGGTCCACACAGCAGGTTCCAGGCCAGCCAGAACTACATAGTGAGATCCTGTCTTTAAAAAATATTAGAAAAAAATGGGCCGGTCATTGCACATACGAGGTCACTTACATACATGCAGGCCATAAACGGTATACACACAAAAAAATAAATAATAAAATTTTTTAATATATTTTATTTTTATTTTATGTGTATGAGTGTGTTGCCCGCATGTGTGTGAGTGCACCCATGTCGTGCAGTGCTGCAGAGGTCAGAAGAGGGCCTCGGATTCCCCTGGAACTGGAGTTAAGGATGGTCATAGCCACCATGTGGGTGCTGGGAATTGAACCCGGGTCTACTGCAAGAGCAGTCAGTGCTCTCAACCGCTGAGCCATCTCTCCAGCCCCAATAAATAAAATATTTTTTAAACAAAGAAAAAGAATAAAAAGGCATTTCAAGGAATTATTCTACCCTGTCCCTTCAATTATTTAGGAAGAAATTATCTAGAAAATGTCTGAAAAATGCTTCATCACTCTGGGTCTTTTTTCAGGTTTGAAAGTCTTTTTGCTAAACTGGAAAAGAAGCAGAAGGAATTGGGCATTGCCAGCTTCGGGGCCTCTGTCACCACGATGGAGGAAGTCTTCCTTCGGTCAGTAGCCATGAATTTCCATCTATCCCAGACCTGCATTGAGGATGATTTTGTTAAAGGGCAGACATAAACAGTCTACCCGGTTCTGTTCTGGGGCACTGTCAGAGGGCAGAGATGCTGGCAAACAGGGACAGAGATAAGGCAGGCAGAGGCTGTATGAGCCAGAGTTCACATGTGAGTTTTATGGGCACCTGTATACTTAGGAAGCTGCACTCTGTATGTAGCAAACATGCCTGAGCTTCCCAGGGTCCTTCCTGAGACTACCACCCCACACACAGGTCAGCATTGGTGCTACTGAGCTCTCCTAGGCAGGGGCCACCCCACAGGATATGTGTATCTGCCCTGGAGATGGGGAGCTTAGCTCTCAGATCCTCAGAACTCCAGATAGTTGCTTTATTTATCAGACACTTCTTGAATTCTTGTTTGGCTGATGCAGTGCTAAGAATTGGAAATAAAAATATGTGTGAAATAGATTTTTCTTAGGAAATCATGTTCTACAGGAGGCAGCATAATAACTGAACATAAATTATAAAGCCTTGTGCTGTGTGCTCAAAACTATCTGTCCCAGGGGCTGTGGGACCAACAGGAAAGGCTAGCATGGTACAGGAAGACCAACCAGGAGAGGATGCACAGAAAGACCTAGAAGCTGAACCCCTGAAACAGAGTAGGCAAGAAGAAGAGAAGAGTGAAAGGTCACTAGCTGACCTGTGTCTAGCTCAGGACACAGCAATTTCTGGTGAATCTTGATTGAATAAAAAAGCTACATGCCAGCCTGCTGTCAGCTATACTGGAATTCCAATCCCAAGTTGCTTTCAGAAGCTTCAGGGCCTCTGCTTCTCTCTATTTTCTGAGATTTAGTGCCTGTCTGGCCCCCAGTTTACTTGGTCTCCTAATTTACATTCAGCACATGGCCCTACCCAACTTCCAGCCTTGTCTTTGTGCATCAGCTCCAGCCCTGCCTGATGGTGGTCTCTGAGCAACTCATCTCAGGAGAAAAAAACCCAGAGGCTCTGCCAGCCTGTCCAGATCCCCTGTTAGTCATGAAGGCAGGCAGCAGCTGCAGGTGTTCAGATGGGTGGCCTGTTTTGGATTCAAAGGAAATATTGGTGAGATGGTGACACTTGGTGTCTCTGAATTGAATTTGTGATTTGGGTCTGAAACATAAATGGGCTTGGGGTCAGCAGTGGTTCAATCCAAGCCTGTCAATCTAATTTCTATCCCTAGAACCTACATAAAAGTGGAAAGAAAGAATCAATGCCATAAGTTTGGCCTCTGACCCCCACACATTCACCATAGTATTTGCACGCGCACGTGCGCACGCACACACACACACACACACACACACAAATTTTTTTAAAAAGCTAAGTGTAGTGGTGCACACCTTTAATCCTAGAACTCCGGAGCAGTGGATCTCTGTGAGTTCAAGGCCAGCCTGGTCTACAGAGTGAGTACCAAGCCAGCCAGGGCTATGTAGTGAGACCCTGTCTTTTTTTTTTTTTAATGTTTTTGAGACAGGGTCTCCCTGTAGCCCAACTGGCCTGGAACTCACTATGTAGACCAGGCTGGCCTCAATCTCACATAGATCTGCCTGCCCCTGCCTCCCGAGTGCTGGGACTAAAGGCATGCGCCACCACACCCCACTTGATACCCTGTCTTCTTTTTTTTTTTGCATTTTTGAGATAGGGTCTCCTTGTATCCCCAGCTGTCCTGGAACTCACTATGTAGACCAGGCTGGCCTCTAACTCACAAAGATCTGCCTACCTCTGACCCCCAAGTGCTGGGATTAAAGGCATGTGCCACCATGCCTGGCAGATACCCTGTCTTATAAATAAATAAATAAATGGACCTGGAAAAATCAGTAAAAGAAGAACCTGGGTAGGGACCAGCAGAGTAGAGACTAAGGCCTGAGGCAAGATTCAGGGGATGAAGAGGGAGAGCAGGTGAACCAGCTCCAGTGAGGCAGAGATGAACTTGGTTAGGCCAGATGAGAAAGCATGTCAAGCTGCTCAGCTGATCAGTTATATTTTCCCAATTAGCAGGGAGCTGCTGGCTAATTTGGTTGTTTTGTTTTATTTTTCAGTTCTGGGAAAACTTGGATTCGCACATGCGAGCACATGTTAGGCAACTGCTGGGCACTAAGCTACATCTCTAGCCCCATGGTTTTTTTTCAATAATAGCTCTACTAAAATATAATTTATATTACATTTAAAAGTCACCTTCTTGATACATACAATTCAGTGTCTTTGGTGTATTCACATATTCTACAATCCTTACCATAATCTATTTAAGACATTTTAAACATTCTCTGTCCCACCAAAAAAATGTCCACACCCATTAGCAATCACCACTCATCTCATTCCTCCTCCCACAGCCCCTGGCAACCAAGATCTACTTCTGTCACTAAAGATTTGCCTGTTACAGACATTTCATATAAATGGAATTACATGGCATGTGGTGTTTGTGCCTGATCTACGTAGCGCAGTGCTTTTGAGGTGCATGCTGTAGCATGTGTCAGAACACCATTCCTTTTTTATGGCTGAACTATAGTCCATCATCTGGGTAGACCATGTTTGTTTATCCATTTCAGTTGGAGGACCTGTATGTTCTTTCTTTTTTTGCTATTATAGATCATGCTGCTATTATAGATCATGCTGCTGTCAACATTTTGTGTACAGTTTTTGCATGATTACATATATATATATATATACTTAGGAGTGGATCATATGAAGTGACTATATTCAGCCCATTCATGACAAATATGCATCATTTAGAAGCTTCTGTCAAAGCACTATAGAATAATAGTTTTGACTCCCTTACTTGTTTGTTCATTTTTTCACACTTACTCATTCTTCATTCATTCATCCATTTTTCTACTCAATGATTATCTAGTGATACCATGGGTACATAGCCAAGCAAAGGTCAGAACAGAAAGACAACCAGACAGGGCACTACCTCTGAGAACTTTCCAGATTCACAGGGAAACTGACCATAGTTCACATTCATAACCAGAACCTGAAGATTAGAGCACTCATGAAAATGTTAACACCAAGGATCCTAACAATCTGGCGCAGGATGCTCTCAAACACCAGTGCAATGATAGCACAGTCTTACCCCAAGCAACTACTATAGGACCTCATGGCCTCACCACCTGCCCTCCCTCCACCATGTCTGTCTCTGTCACACCCTTCTGAAGCACAGTTGTCTTGCTTTCCAGTAGTAAGATGCAGGCAGTATCCTTGGCCTGCATCTTTCTTGGACCCAGAAAATCTTGTGTGATGAGCCCTCTTCAGTACTGCCATTGTGCCCTATAGCCCTCCTTTCCCCTCAAACACCCTGGTTATAAATGATAACTGGGTAATCCCCTTTGAGTACAGAGTCCTATGCACTGGGGCCCCAACTAACTGTCTCTTTCCCATGGACATTACCTGGCTATGCCCAGATGGTATTCTGGAGAAGTTTATTGATGAATGAGTGAGTGAGTGAGTGAGTGAGTGAGTGAGTGAGTGAGTGAGTGAACAAACTGATGGCATTGTTCTGCTTCAGGATCTATTCCTTGGCAGGACAACAGCTTAGCTCTCCAACTTAGGAACCAAGTTATGACTGGTACCTGTGTTCTGGTGCAGGGTTGGTAAGCTGGTGGATACCAGCATGGATATTCAGGCCATCCAGCTCCCTGCCCTGCAGTACCAGCATGAGAGGCGGGCAAGTGACTGGGCTGTGGACCCCAACTTATGTGGGGTGATGGACCCAACTGATGGCATTGGAGCCCTCATCGAGGAAGAGCAGGCCATGGGCAAGCTCAACACAGGGGTGAGCACCTGGGGCTGGGGCCACACACAGTCACCATGGGAAGGTCAGCAGTCCCTTAGCTCCTCATGTTAGAACTGCTAACAGCAGAGAGGCCACATGGCAGATATAAGCTTTAGGGGATCAGTAGAGGAGAAAGCAGATTCCAGTTTATGCTACATGGGACAGCAGGAAGAAGAAGCAGAGTTTTTCAATGGAACAATTCAAATGGCTTTTTTCTGAGACAGGGTTGGCATGGGACTCAGTATGTAGATGAGGCTGGCCTCAAACTTGTGATCTTCCTGGCTCTGCCTTCTGAGTGCTGGAATTACAGGTGTGCTCTACTTCACCCAGCAGAAATGTCTTAATATTCTGACTTGGGTACTCACAGAAAACATTGGGATATTTTCTCTAAGTGTCTTGTTGGGACAAGACACTGCCCTTCATCCAGCTCTGTACTAACATGGCTTGATAGTGACCTGATGAAGTAGATGGCAGCAGAGAGGGTCCTGCTCTCATTTTATAGGCAGGATACCAAGGCCTGGGCCAAAGTGAAATGGCTAACATGTGGGGAGCCTTAGGCTTGGGGGCGGGGGATCTGATCCCAAGGTCCTGAGGCTCTCTGCACTTAGTAGGCCAAGAAAGAGTGATGTGGAACAGGGGCAGGAAATCCAGGGAGGCAGGTGAGAGGGTTTGTCTCTGCTTATCCATGAACTGGAGCAGAGCCTTCTTCATGGTGGTGTCGCCAGAAAAGGGCAGAGTAAAGGCAGAAGACCTCAGCTGGTCCCTTAATGCTTTGTGATAAAAGTATCTGCCAAGCTACTATGGCTGTTGTAAGACCCCACAAGCCCATGTGGGGATCTGTAGGCACATGTACCCTCCTATAGTTTGCTGAGCTCCACCTAAGGCCCCTTGTCACTACAAGTTGCTCTTGGGGTAGTTGCCTGAAGAAATGTCAGCCAAAGGCCCCCAGGATGATGCTACTTAGGTCAGCACTTACAGTGGGGCTAGTTGCCTGCCCCCATGCACAGCCCATGTCACCTGCCTCTCCTCTGCCACAGCTTGCTCTCCACTGCCAGCAGTTCTGGGCCATGTTCCTGAAGAAGGCTGCATACAGCTGGCGGGAATGGAAGATGGTGGCAGCTCAGGTCCTGGTCCCCCTGACTTGCATCACCCTGGCCCTCTTGGCCATCAACTACTCATCGGAGGTCTTTGATAACCCTCTCCTGAAACTAAGCCTGTGCAATTATGGAAGAACTGTTGTGCCCTTCTCAGTCTCAGGCACCTCTCAGCTGGATCAGCAACTGTCTGAGCACCTGAGGGACATGCTACAGGCTGAGGGGCAGGAGCCCCGAGAGGTGCTCGGTAAGGAGCGGCTGGGGCTTGGGGGCCAATGGTGCTGACACAGCTCACCTTCTGACTCTGTCAGTGTTGACTCTGGGGTGGGTCATCCTTTACTATCCCTTACCCTCTGACACATTTAGCAGTGTCCCTGGCATTGCCCCTCACTCCATCATGACAATCAGAACTGCCTCTGAACATTACCAGCTGTCCCCTATGCTGAAGATCATGATGCTGAGTCAGAGAAAGCACACCTAGAACACTACAGACAGGCACACTACCAGGGTTTAGACACACCCATTCTGTAGGACCCTTCATAAACAAAACACAAGTGCTATCTTTGTATTACATCATCTTTGTTAATAGGCTAGGTTGACTGACAATGTACCTTCATGTGACTCAGTGCTTTCATCCAACACCTTGATTTTGTTTGTTTGTTTGTTTGTTTTTGGTCTTTTTGAGGCAAGGTCTCCCTGTAGCCTCAACTGGCCTGGAGCTTGCTATATAGACCAGGCTTGCCTCAAACTCATAGACCTCTGCCTGCCTCTGCCTCCCGAGTGCTGGGATTAAAGGCTACCATGCCTGGCCACACCTTGAAATTTTAAATGGTCTTGAGTTTCTAGCAGCCATAATTAGATAATGCCCCAGGCTTAGAACAGCTGTGATCTGGTTAAATTGATTATACTGGAAGGTTTTCTTACTTTATTGCTCCCTATGTCCTGACCAGCAGCCCTGATGTTCAGTGGACAGAATGATGAGAAAATGGCAGAACTGAGTTCCTGCTTGGGAAAAGGTTGATTATATCTGCACTTGGGAGGCTGTTGGCACCATGATGGGCACTGCTGGCCCAGCAGAAGCCCCAGCAGTCCAGGGTCCCAGTTCATCTATGCCTGTAGTCAATCCTGAAGATTGTCATTGGAATGATTATGGGTGCCCATTCCTGTACCCTCTGTGTCCCTGACACTACATTGCTCCACAGGTGACCTGGAGGAGTTCCTGGTTTTCAGGGCCTCGGTGGAGGGAGGTGGCTTTAATGAGCGGTGCCTGGTGGCAACATCCTTCAAAGACAAAGGAGAGAAGACAGTGGTCACTGCCTTGTTCAACAACCAGGCATACCACTCTCCAGCAACTGCCCTGGCTATTGTGGACAACCTTCTGTTCAAGCTGTTGTGTGGCCCTCAGGCCTCCATTGAAGTCTCCAACTACCCCCAGCCCCGGAGCGCCCTGCAGGTTGCCAAGGACCAATTCAGCGAGTATGTGTACAGCCCACTCACTCAGTCAGGTGTCCGTCTCCAGGACTCCCATTGGAACACCACCAGAAATAAGGCTCTATAGATGACAGAGTGAGGTGTCTGCCCCTCAGACACTGCCTATTCTTGGTCAATGACACTCAGACCCTCAGCCTTCCATATTCACCATTCCTTTGTCCACAAATCATCCCAAACATCCATCCTACAGGCACTGCATTCCTCACCAGGAACTTCTGAGGACCTGGTGGGCATCTCTGCTTTCTTTTCCCAGCAGGGTCCTAAGCAGTGGGGCAGAGGCTGAGCTCAGAGCTCAGAGAAAGCTGTTGTTTCCCTGTTAGGCTACAGACTGGGAGGCCCAAAGATTAGGCTAAGGGGGCCCAGGTTTATTATGGAGATAATGGGCCAGGCAGGGTACTGATCACTCACTCATGAAAATGTTACCCACAGCATGTAGCATGCAGGCAAATGCTTTTTCATGTAGTCCATGGCCCCTTTACCTCAGTGTCATTTTGTTGAACATCTCATTGCCCCCCCAAACAAACTATACCCTTGAGTATTCCCACCCTCCACACTCCCAGCCATGGCAACCACTCAGCTGTTCTGTCTATAGAGTTCCCTATTCCAGTTACTTCTCGAAACAGAGCTGTACAACACATGACCTTTCAGCATGGTGTTTGTGAGGTTCATCCAGGTTGTGGCTGTACTACTCTCTTCCTCTGCCCTCACCTTCTTTTCCTTGCCAGATAGCATTCTGGGTCCCAATCTCATTTATTGAGAAAACCTAGAGCTTTTTTT